TCTGATCATGTAGTTGCTTCAACTTTCTAGTCCTATATTAATCGGTGTAAAAGTAGCCTATAATTACAAAATGAGATGGAGATTCTTACAGAAAAGCATTTAGAAAAGAAAATGTTTCTGTCACCTATTCTTTTCTCAAAGTGATAGGGAGAGACTCAAAGTTGAGGGTGTGGGGAGAGTGACATGGCATTAAAAGGACCCTTTCTTTCAGACCCATATTATCTTCACAATTTGTTTATTCCCTTTTCCTATCTATTTACTTTGGTTCATTGATAAGCAAACACCAGCTATGGTTTTCTCCAGTTTGGTATAGTTCTATAAAGTTGTAGTAATGTGCACTGCACCTGTACAGGAACACTTTACACAAAACTATACATTTTGAAACCTCTCTTTGGAAATGAAAATCCTCTTTTTTGATGGAGTATACAGAACCAAAAATGCTTTCTAGACAGCTTCTATGTCTTCCAAATATAAAATGGGAACGATTATGAATTTCTAGTAAAAGAAAATTTGAAATGTTGATGGGTAATCTACCTTATTATCTAGCCTATCTCTCTCACACACATACACACATCTCAATATTTTTCAGCATTTTGTAACCAGAACAATTATTTCTCACAGATTCATGCTATCATTTATGGCAATACGTCATGACTTCACACAATAACAGCTTTTAATGATCTCGGGAGATGAGTCACACTCTTGCAATCAAACTTAGATGCTGGGCAGAAAGGCCAATTATGATCTCTGTTCCAGCTTTTGTAGAGTTCACATTTGCTAAGGATAGTGTCAGTGGGGTAAAGATCAGATACCTTGCTTTAGTTTTAAATTGAAAACCACATAGTTACTCAATAAAATTATAGATGAACCGGGCAATCCTAAACCATCTCTCAGAGTGGTTTGGTATCAGGGGCACCAAAATGAACAAAAGTCTGTCAACAAGAAATTGGCAGGGGAGAAATGAAAGTGGAGAAACATCTGTCACTCTATCCTTTCCACGTTTTAAAATAAGTCTTTCTGACATCACAATCATTGGTTTAAACTTCCCCCAGAGCTGGGAGTTTGATGAAAGACTCGACCCTGGACCTTGAAACCCTTTCTTCTGCCTTTTCCTGATGCTGAAATTTCTAACATCAGAAAACTCAGCCTCGGAAACTGTCACTAAAAAGTGAAATTCTACAGCTATGATAAGACTGCAGTTTTAATGAATCACACCTGCTGTATTGTTGAAGCTTAATATTATATCCATCAAAGACTGCATTTGAAATTGAGAGGTTAAAAATGGAGATCCTTGTTCTTTAAAGCAGCCAGATCTGGCACTGATCCCTGAAACAGTGCTAAAATAGCTGAAAAAATGAACTACTGCTTGCCTGACCACCTTAATTCTATAAGTTCCCCTCAGTTGCTGCTCAGCAGCATTTGCTGTCTGTTGCCTTTGTGTCAGGAGCTTTTATATGAGAAAATTGACCTGTGTTGCCTTTGAAATTCGTCATCCTCTTTGCTTCTTCCTCACCAATGAAACATGCTGTGGTCCCTTTTACAACACAGTGGGACAAGGAAGGATTATCATTTTGCAGAGTGAGATTGACGGTACATAAATATAAAAAGTCTTACTTTAAAGTTTAAACAATGGCAAGAAATTTTAATTTTTAAGAACTTAGCTATAAAATTACTAGCCAGATTAATGAAAATCATCCATTTTAGATCTAATAGAATGCTTACTCCTTATTTTTATATAAACATATACACACACAAATATACATACACATATACTGTATATACACACACATACACACACACTCATATACATACACATTAGTGGTCACTAAACAAGAACTACCTTTTTGTTTTTGTGTGTGTTGTGTTCATCAAAGTTTTATTCTTAAATTAAGCCATCTGTCTTGGATGCATCAGACTCACATTTATATATTCTAAATATTTGGATGCTAATGCTGACAGGGCTGCCTTTACCTAGTTAACCTGGGAACTTCATTTATACTTCAGATTTTGATGTTATGTGTTCGGTAAATTTACTTGACTTCAAGGACGTGCACAGTAGATAACCCCCATAAAGAAATAAACAAACAGACAATGGCATCTTAGCAAATAATAATTCAAGTAGTGCCTCATAAGGGTCCTTTTGTACCCAGGACTGGCACAAGACATTTGGGTGTCTGAGCAGTTTAGTAATAGCTGGTGGGTAGCTCCAATCCAATGAAAGTGGTATATTAAATGTACTCAAGGGAGGTTTTTTGCATATGGAGCAGAAAGTACTCCATTTCATTGGCAATAAAAATACCACGATAACCAATTATCTGTGTCTATGCTGTTCTATTCTCTTGATGTAATGTAAGTGGTGTTCTGTTTTTATCTCATTTCAACTATGGTGCTGTGAGTAGCAACATTTCACACTCCTCCATGAAGTGTTTTTGAAACTTCTGTTTTTGACACTTTGCCAGAAATAGCAGGAAATTGATTTCTTTAAAACAGCTTGACAATCTCAGTCTTTGGTGCAGAGTCAGTATACCATAGGCTGAAATTGTATGCATAGAATGCTTTGTAATTGTACCTAGTCTCATGGAAAACACAGATTGGAAACAGGACTTGTCTCGGAAATTTTTATGAGAAGCCAGTTGCATTTCACCTTCTCCTAGTGCTAGCCCAAGTAGCCTTTCTGATAGCAATGTAACAGATAGACAAGCAAACCAAAGTCTTCCATTCAAGGCCCATTTCCCTCACTTGGGTCCCCCAAAAGATAAACAAGAAAAATAATTACCCCAAAGCATTCCTGTGAGTAAAGGCCCAGATGTACAGTCACAAAGCCAGATCGATAGACAGGCGGAAAGAAAACAGAAAATATCAGGAAATGGGCCATCAGCAGAGAGCAAAGGAACAAGGAGACTGTTGGAAGAAGATTTGCATCTGAAAAGAGCAATAACCTCATCTCACAGCCTTGATATCCGGGCATTCCATTAATTTTTTCACCCCAGAACCCAGCTTCCTTCTCTCATTTACAGTTTAATTAACAAGAGCCATTTCATATATTACATTTTTTTGTTGTATACATGTTTAAAATGCTTAATGTGATGGTGACAAACATGTGTTTACAAGCCCAGATGTACACATGCATTCATCAGGAGGAGTGACTGGCTGTTATTCCTTGATTTTCAAAGCAGCAGTTGCTACTTGGCAGCATTAATTAGTAAAAACAAACAAACAACAACTGCAGGAAACCCTAATCTCTCTAATTAAGTTCAATTTGGCCCCAAGTGACAGGTGAAACAATCCTTAGCATCTTTCCAAGTGGAAAATTATTTTAGGCACCTTGGTGCAATTATGAGTTTGAATGCAGGCAGTCAACAGGAAACATGCTGGTTACCATTTGTTCAAACTACAGTAGTTCAGATTTGCAGACAAGGGCAATTAATACATGTGGAACCCCTTGAAAGAAAGTGGCTCTGGGGAGATATCTCCAAGTTACTTCTTTGATCCAAACTGACCCTTCTTGAAATCCAACTATCAGGATTTTATTATAGGCTTTACAATACTCTCCAGTTTAGATCTATGGATTTAAAATTGTTTGGTTTCTATGGCTTTTATAGGAAGGGTCATGGATCATAACATAGAATTCTCCAGGTCTTACAAAATGTCAGTCCTAAGGTAACTTCTTGAAAGTAAACCATGAAGTTCAAACATATTTTGAAGAATTTGGTAGTGAATCTGAATACCAGAAGCAAAGAAGATAGGAAGTTATATAGATTGACTGGTTCTTTTAAAATCAGAGGCGCAATTCCAGAGAACCAGAAAAAGAAGTGGCTGTACATTTCTTGAATAAATCTGATAAACATCTGTACTTATCCCCAAAGTCTGGGGACAGTCTAGGAAAAAAGTCAGAGAGTTTTAATTCAGTGGTCAAGAAATTATTAATTACTGTAGGCCAAAACTGTGTTAATTTTGTACTTCTGTGCTTAAAATCAATACCTTTCACATCTTTTTTATAAAAGAGTGATAGTTTAGTCTTTTATGAATATATCAGATTTTGCATGAAGGTAGTTCCTTTCTTTCAAATCTCTTGAGATAATTATTTTTTTCTGAGATATTCTTAGGGCTCTGTATAACATGGGGAATATTTTAATAAGTCAATAGTGTCTTGTGGTCTTTCTTTTCTTCTGTTCAATAGTGTTTGATTCTTCAATATTGCCAAGACAAGTCCATGCAGTATTCTTGGCAAGGTTTTTCAGAACGTTTTTAATTTTTTTAAAGCTTAACTTATTTGTCATGTGCTGTGTATTATAAACTATACTTACCTAACACAATATTGCATACTGTATTAACATTTTGAAAATTTTAAAATTAAATGTGATTTTATAGGTTTTTCTTCTTTAAAATTTCCTTTTCTTTATTTCTTGTGAGAGGAGTCGTCTCTCGAAAAAGGGGTGAGAAGGGTGCACATCTTAAGACCATTCAGTGTTCCCTCAAAAAATAGGTAGTGGCTAATGGAAACCTCTACTCCAAACCAGTAATATAAAGACCCAGAAAACTATAATAAGCATTTTAAAGGTCTGGTAACCCTAAAAGGTGGAAATTGTATGTATTCTGTTGTGCTGTTGTGAACTGAATAAATTGTATGATTTTAAAGCTCACATCGTATGTTCAGCTATATGCATCTTAATATAGAGAAAATAAGTCTAGGTCAGGCAAAATTCTGGGTCAATCAAGATTAATATTTTCTTCATATATCTGCTTTGTCTGCAGTTATGCCTTCTTACCACCCAGCCATTCAACTAGAATTTTTTTAGTCACATACAATATATTTCCTCATATTTAATCATTATAATAATTTCTGTGACATGGCTAAACCAGTGAGGGAAACAAGCATGCTATTTTAAGTGATATGATGTTTTTTTTGAAGTAGAAGCCAAAGAAATTCTGAGCATTGGTAGCATGGTTCTCACGTATGTAAAATGATCTGAACCCAACCAAAAAATGCAGATACTTACGCCAAAGCAAAGGCCATCAGCGCTCCAACAACCACAATGAAATCCAGGATGTTCCAAAGATCCCGAAAGTAAGAGCCATCTTGCAGTATTAATCCCTGATCAATCATCTAAAGAAAGATAAGGGAAAGTTCTTATACTTTATACTCATAAGAATAGAATCACCTAAGCTCCATTTTCTGATTATGAGCTCTTTGCATTCAAGTCCCATTAATGAGGCTGCAGTTAGCTTATATGCAAATACATATGGACAAAGATAATTCGCTTAAGAGGTATTTTCAGTTGCTGGTGGTATTGTGGGAGATGGATGTAACAATACAGATACTTATAATTTCATTTTAAAATTAGTAAACAAAAAATGCCGTCAGAGGTTTATTTAGGAAGTTAATTCTGTCAAATTTGTTTTACATTACAGTAAAGTTGAATCAGCAGGAGTACCACCAGAAGAGGCCATGTCAGACTGACAAAACCAGAATTGGGGCACTATAACACAAATCCCACTTCTTTTTTTAATATGTGTTACAACATTGCATGCATGCCTAAAAAAAGGAATCAGTTTGGACTGCCCTTATTTGATATCATTCTGACACAAGCAGCAGGATAAAGGGGATAAAAAGATTAGTTTGGGTAGGTCTGTTGTGATGCTAGAACTTGCCTAACTAGCTTATACTAGATACATGTCCAAAAAGTGAGAGCTAGTGATTGGGGCAAAGCAGATTTATAGGTTCCTATAAACCTATTTATAACTGTTTATAAGACATGGTTATCAAAAAGGAAATAAAATCTGCTTAGTAACTACCGGTACTGACCATCAGCTGCTGAAAAGGAGGCCTCTTTGTTGTCCCACAGAAGGCCTTTTCACGCCATATAAAATCTATTACTTGAATAATACAAGTACTGTATTATGTGTGAATTAGTTAACGTGTTGGACTGAAAAGACTCAGTTCAAGTCTATAAAAGCTCAAAGGGTAATTCTTTCAGCCCAGTAACTAACTTTTTGCTCACCTGACCTCACTGGATTGTTTTGACAAAAAACTAGGGGAGAAAGTGCTGTGTACACTGCTTTGATCTCCTGGAGGAAAAGTGAAAGGTAACTTAAATAATACAAATTTACAGGATAGAAAGTTTCTTAAATAATCACTATAGAACCTTGAACTAAAAAAAAAAAACTCAGTGCCTTTTAATTCTAAGAATTTATTTGAAAAAAAAAATTACAAGGACAATTTTGCTTCCTAACACTGTATCTTCTTTTAGAAACTCTGTTCAGTAGGAGTGACATTTGAGAAGTGATAGGGATGTGCAAAAACTTCTGCTAAAAAAAGTCCAATTTTCTTTTTTTGCTTAAGAAACTGTTTTATATTCTGTTCCTATAGAGGCCAACACTTGCCACCCATAAAGAGGAAGTTACCGTTTTTGTCATTATAAACTGAGATTCCACTAACATCTCAGCTAATGCTATTCCCATATTGAATGATGTTGGCATACTCAGTTAATTGGCTTGGTCTTGGATAATTCTACTCTTTTTAATACAAAACTTTTCATTATTTTTTTTAATTATTATTATTAATTTATTTTTAAAACAAATTTTATCGATTTTTTTAGTTTTTACATCAAGGTATTTAGGAAACAACGTGGAGATGGCGCCCTTAAACATCCAAAAGCAAAATCACGCATATATAACTCAGGTTATTTCATTAAAAGTTCCCTCTCTATTTCCTTCATATAATATTACATATTCAAATTAATACATTTCTAAATAGAGTTCAATCAATCAAATCAGACATCAATCACATTTCAGTTATAAAAATCCAAATCCTGTTTTTAAGCTTTACTAATTTACAATTACCATATTCCAATTAGCCTTGAATAAACATATTATTAATACTTTGGGTATCCCTCATTTCCCTTTTCCCTAACATAATAATTATATCTAGAATAAATATATTATTCCCACAATAACATTCTTATATTTTCCACATAGAATCTATTTCTTAATCTAATAAATCATTTATTAATACCATTCCTTCTCTTATCACCAATCCCTCTTATTCTCCTTCTATTACAAAATAATTGTCTTTTATTTGAAATAAAAATATCAGTCCAAAATATACATTTCTATCTATTTTAAATATACATTCTATCAATCAATCTATATCTATAAAAAGTCTTTTTAACCCATTAAGTAAAATTTATTCCTCCAAATAATTATCATATCTAAAACTAAATATTATTACAAAGGATATCCTCTTACAGAATTCATGTACACCATTAGTTATTAAAGTCAAAATCTCTAAAGTTTTTTTAACCCGTTAAATAAAATTTTAAAACACATTTTTAAATCTAACTCTAGGTTTCTTTCTGTGCCAAACCGGTTTCATAGTAAAGTTTCTACGTCATCGAACCTCAATATTTGAATAGAGGTATTTCTCAACACTTCAGACTGGTCAAAGTTCTCTTCCCTTTCTTCCAGTGTCATCTGAATGGTGTAATCAGTTTTATTCCATGTTGTAATTACTAGTTGATTGTCCACGTTATCACAATTTTCAGTAACTTGTGTCTGGATGTCAGTCTCTGTTGTTTTTGACAAGTCAGATATTTCAATTAAAGTTATTCTTTGATCATCAAGATTCTCCATAAATTGTATATGGGGTTGTGTAAAATTGATTTGTTCGGTAGTTTCCACAATTTCTCCAGTATAAATTCATAGTTGTGTTGTAGGTATGGTTCCTCCATCTCTTTAGGTTGTATATGTTGTTGAATAAAGTCCTCTTTGGAATTACTCTGTTCCTTCTCTATTGTTCCTTGGCCTATATCTTGAGCCATTAAAATTTGAGAATCAATTTGTGATTCTGAAAAGTCATCTTTAATTTTTCTCCAAGATTTCATATACTCCGTAGCTTCCAAGATTTTTTCCAGTATAAGTTCATAATCAAGCTGTGGGTAAGATTCCTCCATTTCAGTGGTGAAAAAATCTTTTAATCTTTTAGTGGAGGCTGTATTTAGTAAGAGTCAACAAATATCCACCTCCAATTTCTAATAGACAAATTCACCTCCCAGCTGTTTCAAATCCTTTATCTTTTCCCTTTTATTATCATTTGAAGGTCAGAACCATTTTCAAACAGCAAAAAGAAATACAGTTGCAGTAATAATTTTTGCCACAAGATGTCCTCAGTAAGCTGTAAAATCTTTTTTTTCAAGAAAAAGAAAAACATCTCCAGCATGAAAAGTAGAATAGTAATAATAATAATGTTCAAAGGTAAGATTTTTTCAGGACCCCTAAGTATCCAAAAAATTAAATAGTCAATAAAAAATTAGCTGTTTAATTTCTTTAGTTTCCAAAGCTCTTTTCCCCCCAGTACACAAACGCAGCTCTCTCAAAGCAGGGAAGTAGTTCAAAAGCTTTTTACAGGAGAGTAGTTAGGGCAAAGAGGAGGAAGGAAAGGTCTCATCCAGATTCTCCACTGTGGTTCTTTATGCTTAGCTGTTCTTCTGACTTTCAACTGGTGCAGCTGAATGATCGGCCATTTTACTGGCCGATCTTTTCTCCATCGGCCCTAAGGAGCTAGCTCGGACCGTGGAAGGAGCTGCTGCCTTTCCACAGTCGATGAGGGCCTCCTCAATGGTGGTTGCCTCTCCAGGGTGACTTTTCAACCCAATTAAGGGTCTACCGGCAGAGGGGAAAACAGCCAGCGAAGAGACAAGGCTCTTCGCTCGACTGCGTATGCTGCGATCCAGAACCAGAAGCCAATTCTTATTATTTTTGTATGCAGCACTCTGAAATAGTTTAGTGTGGGTTTTGTCCAGAATACCAAGAACTGGAAACAGATGAGGGACAGGATCAGAAAAAGCCATGGAAAGACAAGCTGCAGAAAAGGGGTTAGCCAAATTGCAGAATGAAAATGCACTCGACATTACTTTATTGCGATCACAAAATTTCCCAGCAGGAAAGAGAAATTTCTAGAGCAACTTCCTAAACTGGTGTCTTCCAGATGTGATGAATTGCATCTCCCAGAATTCCTACAGTATTTTGTTGAAAAAGTTGTAATAAGTCTTAAGGATCATCCCAACTGACTTCCTCAAAGATCAGAGTTCCTTCATTTATTGAAGTTTTAAAAATATTTAATCATGTATTTAAAATATTTAATAACAATCCTGAAAAAACCTCTCAGCTTCCAGCAAGTGGCAGGCTAAAGAAAACTCAAGCATGACTTTAACTACAAGGCACTGAAGGAAGAAAATTGTCAAAGGAGAAATTGCTCCCAGAAATGTTTGGGAAGGTCTTCATTTTCTTGAAAAGAGATGATAAAGATCTGTCTATGAATATGAAACTGTCCACTGTCTTCCAATTGACTCAAGAAAACCCTTCTCACTTACTTTAATGACCATCTCAAAGGTGAAGACGCCAGTGAAAACGTAGTCGAAATACCTCAGAACCTGCAAAGATGAAAACAATGGAACAGTGTGGAATAAGGAAGTATTATCACTTTGCAGAGTAAAATTGGAGGCATATAAATTAAATAAATAAGTATGAAAAGGTATTGTTCTGAAGTTTAAACAATGGCAAGAAATGTTAATTTTTAAGACTTTAGCTATAAAATTACTAGCCAGATCAATGAAAACCCTCCTTTTTAGATGTAACAGAACGCTAGAACCGATTCTTTATCATGACCAAGCCCAGGGGTAGGCAACCCAAAACACTCAAAGAGCCACTTGGACCCGTTTCCCACCAAAAACAAAACACCGGGAGCCGCAAAACCCTTTTGATATCTAAAATGAAGATAACACTGCACACTGTACACACACACACACACACACACACACACACACACACATTAAAAATAAAAGTAAAAATATGACTCTTGGGAATATCCATACTATTAAAACAATGATCACCAAGAGAATGCTTAAGAGAATAAAATTACATACACACACAGGTAAAAAAAAGGATATATGCAGTGTTATCTTCATTTTAGATGTCAAAAGGGTCTCTCTCTCTCTCTCTGTCTCTCTCCCTCTCTATCTGCCCTTGGTCTGCCACTCCTCTTCCCCCACTTTCTCTCTCCCCCTCCCCCCTCTCTCTTTCTCTCTCTCTCTTTCTCCCCCCCTCCTATCTGCTGCTCACCTGGCAAGCTTCAAGCTGTTGTCCAACAAGCTCAGGGGTAAGCAACCTAGTCTCTTTTATGACTCATAGACTTCAACTCCCAGAATTCCTGAGTCAGCCTAGCTGGGCTAGCTAGCTCTCTCCTGCCCTTCCTGCTTCCTGCTTCCTGCAGAGACGCAGCAAAGGGAGGAGCTCTGCCCAGTAAGCTTTTCAGCTCCTCGGAGAACACTGTGAGTGCACTCTGTTTTACACACACACACACAAACACACACGCACACAAAAACACACGCACACAAAAACACAAACACACACAGAGAGAGAGAGAAAGAGAGAGAGAGAGAGAAGCAGGAAAGTGTAATTGCCTTTCTCTGTCTGTCTCTCTCTGCAAAGGCAGAGGAAGCTGGGAGCCACAGGGGAAGGCTCAAAGAGCCACATGAGGCTCCGGAGCTGCAGGTTGCCGACCTGTGACCTAGCCAACGGGTTTAGCACTTTTAACTGTTTTGTTTTGAATGGAATTATTCTCATTAATAACTTATATGTTTAACATGACTTTTGAAATGAATAATGTCCAGAATGCAATTTATTAGAAATATCTCCTCTGTGTCCCTTCCCTGCCATGGAATACAGCTAAGGCTACCTGAAATCCTTGGTTCAAGACTGAAGCAAGAAGAGGCTGGTGGCAATATAATTTTTAAAAATGGCCAAGGTGGGAGGAAAAAAAATGAAACCTAGCTTTCTCCTGTTCTTAATAATACAAATACTTGGAGGTGATTATACCAAGAAAATGAGCAGTATTACTAATAATGTATCTGCTACCCACATTATCAAATGTAAACTGCTGTTAAAAATGAAAATAATAGAACCTACTTTAGAAGTTAGCAACCTCAGCTGTCAGGTTGGACAACAATTTGAGGGGTCCTTGGTATTCTCTGAGCTTTCTTTCTTTTTGCAATGACAGTCAGATTTGGGTTATGAAACATCTACAAGAAAACAACCAAGCTCAGAGAGTACCAAGGATTCTTCATTTCAACCCTTAGCTAAAAAATATTCTCCTTTATTGGGACAACAATTGCTACAATCTGGCTGTACCTTAAACTTTGTGTACTTTCTGTTATGTCTGCTCTGATCTGTTTTCTGCCTGCCCCTGGCATTTTGCCATAGCAACAAAATGATGTTATTTGCTAAATCAGACTAGAAGACCAAACAGTCCAGTGTTCTCTTTTTGCAAGGAGCAGCCAGATGCTCACAGGAAGCACTTGAGCAGGATCCGAATGCAATTGCACCCTCCTGCTTATGTTCCAATGCTTGGGATTCAGAGGCATGTTTCCACCAACGTCCTGGCACACTCTCTGGCACCATCCTGCAGTTATTAGTGCAGAGCTCTTACATAGGCATTAGCTGGAACCGCTGAAAATGTAGCCTACACAAGCAATGGTGGAGGCCCATTTTTCATCAAACTGACAAATGCAGCTGTTTTTTAAAAAGTCTGGGTTCTCCCTGTGTCTAGGTACAGAAAATCTAAAAGCCACTATTTTAGAAATCAGTAGTGCTGTGCCTCCACAATTTCTACATAAAACAACTGGCAGTAACAGTAACATACCTCTTCCAAGTTAATTTGCCTCTCACACTGGTTAACTAATTATTGCCTTTGGGACTAGAGAAATCCATTCATCAAACTGGAGATTGGAAACTAAGAGTAAGCATTAATGGCCTCAGCAATTCAATGTGTAAAATGAGGCAAGTTAGATGTTCTAAACTCCTGCAGCATAGAAAGTATAAATAACCACACTTCCCTCCCCTGCCCATTTTAAATTTCATTTCTTTCTTTCTCTTTCTTTCCTTTCCATTAATTCTTAATGTGTTCTTCTGAGTAGTTTGAGTGAATTTCTTTGTTACTAAGTTCTTGTTTTCTCCTGATTCAAGAGCAAAGTGGGGGTCATTTTATACACATCTGCCCAAAGGAGTGGAGCATCAGCACATAGGCTGCCAACATCGTCCTTCCTGTAAGATGATAGGTGTGTTAGGTGAAACTCTCAGATATTAATTATGGTTAATGGGCCAATGCTTGACAGAGTGGGCAGTCAGAAAGCCAGTCCTTGTCTAATCCCAACTGTTGAGTCCTTGGCGAAAAGCAGACATGAGAAGCAGTTGTAGTTAGGTTTTCTTTTATTCTGTGTTCAGCTTACAGGTGAAGGCTTCAGCAACGCCCAAAAGCTCCCAGCCTCTTATATAGGCAATTCCCGGGTCAATGTGTTACTTTTCCCGCGCCAGCACCCGCGCATGCGCACAGGCGCTGGCGACAGCCTGTCTGGTCCCGGGCAGCTTGCACCTGCCCGGGACTGCCTGCAAACGCCCCGAGCCCGTTTGCAAGGCTCGGGACATAACACCCCTTTCCCCCGGGCTAAGACTACTACCAACATACAATTGTTTCTTGATTCAATGTTCTACTCCCCAGTGCTTCTACTGTTTACTGGCTTTTGTTTGGCCAGCAATGTTATGTAATCCTCTAAGTATTTAGGAGATTTCCTTGCTCTCTGTGACCTTCTCAGCTCTGGGTTTCTGACAGGTGTTCCCTGACTGAGGGGAGACGTGAGCCTGTTCTCCTTATCATGCCTTGGTGCCTTCCAAGGACTGTGCCCCAATGCCTGGCCTGCTCGCTCGCCCACCGGGCTCGTCAGGCCAGGGCTTCTGTCACTTTGTGACCTGGTTGACCTGCCTAGCTGTAGGCCCTCGGGCCCCTTGAAGTGATAGCCACTGCTGGGAGTCTCTGTAGAACCTCCTAGGTCCGTCCAAGACCTGTCAGGAGGCTGTCCATTCCCTAAACCCCGTTCTGTGTCCGGGCTCGTGTGGGTTTCTGTACCTTCCCAAAACTCAGTTACTCCCTGATTTGGGCTAGAGGTGTTGCGGTCGGGACTTGGTTCCTCGACCACCTCCCTGTATGTTTGACCCCCTGTAGGACTTGGGGTAAGGTCAGGCCAACTCTGGGGATTATGTGCCAGCTCTCTTGCGGGGTATGATTTATTGGGATGCTCCCGGGTATCCTCCCTGACTGGAGTACTGTGCTGTGCAGGTGAATAGTGATTGTACCCCCGGGGTGACTCCCTGGCTGGAGTAGGCGTGAATGCCTGGTAGTTGGATAGGCTCTTAGAATTCCTGTTTGGGGCACTCGCGGAATCTTGGAATGGGCCGTTTGTGGCTCCATCATTGGAGGTGGGCAGCAGCTCGTGCCCCTCCCTTTGTTCTAAAGAGGCCCCCTCCCCCCCTGGAAAAGACCCAGGAGTCTCATCTGAAAGATCCCGCCTAGGGCGGAGTTGGTCGATGTGCCGACGCAGGACACGACCGTTGTCCAGGGCTACCTCGTAGGATAGAGGACCTGTGACCCTGGAAATAGAAGCGGGGACCCATGTATGACCAGGCCCGTAATTGCGAGTCCAAACCGGGGCACCCACAAGTAGTTGTCTAGGTGCCCTAGGATGTGAGGTAGATGAAGGCAGTCTGTCCGGATGCAACCGGTCAAGCTTCGTAGTAAGTTTGCGCCCCCAGCGAAGTTCAGCTGGGCTTCTCCCTGTAGAAGTGGACGGTGTGATGCGGTAAGAAAGGAGAAAGTCAGCCAACCTTTGGTGCCAGTCCCCATAGGTGAGTCTTTTCAAGGCGTCCTTTGTGATGCGGACCATGCGTTCAGCCATACTGTTGGTGGACGGGTGGAAGGGTGCAGACGTGGCATGACGAATCATGTTAGCCTGTAAGAAAGCTTGGAATTCGGAGGAAGTAAATTGAGGGCCGTTGTCAGACACGATGACATCTGGGAGCCCGTGTGCAGCAAAAATCCCCCTCAGTACCTGAATAGTCTTTGCAGTGGTGGTGGATGAGACAGGTACAACCTCAAGCCATTTTGAATGACTGTCAACGAGGACCAAGAAGAACTGGCCCTGAAAGGGCCCAGCGTAGTCAATGTGCACCCTAGACCATGGGGACTGTGTATCCTCCCATCTATGCACAGGAGCTTGGGGCATCTCTGGGCGAGAGCGCTGGCACAGGTGGCATGCATGCACCTTAGCCTCAATGTCCTTATCTAAACCAGGCCACCACAAGTGGCTGCGTGCAAGGGCCTTCATGCAACAATGCCAGGATGACCCTCGTGGAGGGACTCTAAGATCCTAGTCCTCATTGAGGTGGGAATGACAACTCTGTTTCCCCAAAGCAGACAACCCTGAGAAGTGGACAACTCGTTCCTTTTGGACCAGAAACTCTGAAACTCAGGACTAGGGCAGTGCTCAGGCCATCCAGACAAAACCCAAGAAAGGACACGTGAAAGTGTGTGATCTGTGCCTGTTTCAGCGGCGACATCCCTGGCATTCAGAGGGGACTCGGGCAAGGCTTGGATGGATAGAATGTTGACAGCTGGCGCAGGGTCAGCTTCTACTACTGGCAGGGGCAATCTACTGAGGCCATCAGCATGGCCCATTTCTTTCCCAGGCTTGTGGAGTAAGGAAAAATCATATGCAGACAGAAAAATAGACCACCTAAGCATTCTAGGGGAAATGATTTGGGGAGTTTGTTTACGTGTGGTAAACAGTCCCAGCAGAGGCTTATGGTCAGTGAAGACCGTGAAATGCCTGCCATACAAGAAATCATGGAATTTTTTAATTCCAGCAACAACAGCCAGAGCCTCCCTGTCTATCTGAGCGTAGTTGCGCTCAGCAGAAGACAGTGTTCTGGAGTAATATGCAACAGGAACCTGAGTTCCATCAGACCTGAGGTGGCTCAGGACGGCTCCTACCCCGTAAGGGGAAGCATCACAAGCGATGCACACAGGAAGGGACTCATTGAAGTGTGCAAGTACACTGTTAGAAGTGAGTAAGGCCTTGACCTCATTGAAACTAGCCTCATGTGTTTGTGACCACTGCCACACTGCTTGTTTGTCTAATAGCCTGTGAAGAGGCTCAGCTACACTAGCTTTATGTGGAAGAAAGGAATTGTAGAAATTCAGGAGGCCCAGAAAGGCCTGAAGTTCGGCCTTAGACTTTGGCCTAGGTGCTTCTAAAATGGCAGTTAGTTTGGATTCAGCAGGGTGAATCCCAGCAGCATCAATTTTGAATCCCAGAAATTCAGTAGAAGGCACCCCAATTTTGCATTTGTCTTTTTTGAGTTTGAGGCCTGTTTTCCTGAACCTTAACAGAACAGCCCTTAGCCTTTCAGCTAGAATGTGTGTGGAGTCTCCTGCAATTAAGACATCATCAAAGTAGGGGCAAACCCCCGGTATGCCCCGTAGTGTGTTTTCCATTACGCTTTGGAAAATCCCAGGAGCGACATTCACTCCAAACTGTAGCCTTTTTACCTTAAAGGCTCCCCTGTGGGTCACAATAGTCTGAGCTATAGCAGCATCATCATCAACAGGCAGCTGTTGATACGCTTGAGCTAGGTCAAGCTTTGCAAAAACGCGCCCCCCTTGAGGGAGGCCAGAATATGACTGACCACAGGAACAGGATAGGCATGTTGCTGCAATGCCTTATTAAGAGTGCATTTGTAGTCAGCACAAATGCGAATGTCCCCATTTGCCTTTAGAGGCGTGACAATGGGGGTCTCCCAAGGGCTGGAATCAACAGGTTCTAGGATTCCCTGTTGGATCAGTTTGTCTAACTCAGTGTCAATTTTACTCTTTAAAGCAAAAGGGACCCTTCTTGCTTTAATTCTAATGGGTGTGACAGTGGGGTCTAGTTTTAAGGACACAGGAGGTCCCTTGAATGTGCCCAGCTGGGGGCTGAAGACATCTGCAAATTCTTTGCAGACTTCCTGTAGGTCGAGTGTTTGTAAGCTGTTGAGCCCCGTGACGTGTATCCCCAAGGCTTCAAACCAATCGAGTCCTATGAGACTCGTTCGTTCACCCCCTACTACTAATATGTCTAGTGGACCTTCAAAATTCTTATACTGTACGTTAAGGGTGGCCTCCCCCTTAACACACACTCTCGAATTTTGAAAGTCTGTTAACACAATGTCAGAAGGCCTTAATTTAGCCTGAGTTCCACTGCCGGAACAAATCTTCCTAAATGTATGTAAGGATATGATTGAAAGGGCAGACCCCGTGTCTAGTTCCATAGTTAATGGAACCCCTTGTAGCTTCACCTTGAGTGACAGCTTTTTCTTGATGGGCTTGTGTGTGCCTGTCCTGAAGATGCTTCTTCGCGAAGCGCAAAAACCTACCCTATTCTGGCTGGGGACCCTGGTACCTTTCAGGCGCAGTTCTTCCTGAGGTTGTACCTTTCGTCGGCCCAGACACACAGCTGCAATATGTCCTTGTTTCCCGCACGCCCGGCAGATAGCGGAGCGGAACTTGCAGTCGGTTCTCCTGTGGCGACCTCCACAGCCGATGCACTTGAGGGGAGCTGCAGAGCTTCCTTTCTGATTCCCTTCCTTCGTGGGGTGGAGACGGTCGACTTCCTCGTCCGGATCCTCCTCGGAGTTCCCTTGGACGTCCTCTTGGTGCACGGATGCAACATCTGGACTGTTCCTGATCGGCCGCATGTTTTGGACGGCGCCGCCTGCTGCTTCTTCTGCGGTGACCTCTCTTAAGGCATCTTGGAAGGACAAGTCTTCTTTGGCGAAAAGCCTCTGTTGTAGATCTCGATGCCTTAAGCCGCACACGAATCGGTCCCTCAGTCGTTCTTCGAGGTCCTTGAACTCGCAGTGCTTGGCGGCCTTCCTCAATGCGGCGATGTATTCTTTGGCCGACTCTCCGGATCGTTGATCCCTCTGCTCGAAGGTGTGGCGCCATGCGATGACGGACATCTTGGGCTGGAAGTGCTCCTTCAATAGCTTCTTTAGATCTGCGTAGCTGACAGACTCTAATGGGACAGGTGCTGCAAGGTTCTCTGCGATTTCGAAGGCGTCTTGACCGCAGACACAAAGCAGGGTGGCAGCCTTCAAGCTATCTTCCCTCACTTGGTTTACCTTGAGGTAATTTTCCACCCTGGCTACGTAGGACTCCCACCGCTCTGGATGTGAGACGTCGAATTCCGAAAGCCTTCCAACTTTTGCCATTTTCAGGAGACGGGTCTATCAGCCAGCCTACCCCCGAATGCGCACTGGATTGGCGGGTAGCTGCCGAGTCAACGCCGTTCCGCCGCTCAGGACTCACTTGGGTAAGCTTACACCTCTTCCTTTCCAGGCGATGTAAGGCATCCCACCTTCGTCGCCAGTGTTGAGTCCTTGGCGAAAAGCAGACACGAGAAGCAGTTGTAGTTCTCAGGTTTTCTTTTATTCTGTGTTCAGCTTATAGGTGAAGGCTTCAGCAACGCCCAAAAGCTCCCAGCCTCTTATATAGGCAATTCCCGGGTCAATGTGTTACTTTTCCCGCGCCAGCACCCGCGCATGCGCACAGGCGCTGGCGACAGTCTGTCTGGTCCCAGGCAGCTTGCACCTGCCCGGGATTGCCTGCAAACGCCCCGAGCCCATTTGCAAGGCTCGGGACATAACACCAACCATCTGCTACATTTTTTACTTCTGTGCTTGGTTCTTCCTATCCTCCAGCTAGGTTTCAAAACAATGAAATATTGTTCATCAACTTCTACAAGCTGGTAAGAACATTCTTGTCCATTAATGTGTCAATATGTAATTTGTATGGCTGCTCAGAATCACTTGTTGAGATGAGCAGCCATAAATTGAATAAATGAATAAGTAAATGTTTTATCTTTTTATTGGTCAGAGTTTATGTCTATGGAATTCAGCAAGGTATTCAAATAGTTGATAGTATGAGTCACTGTTCCAAATCTTACTTTCCATGGAGGCTGATTTTTGTGACAAAATCCAACCTAACCAACACTGGCCAGAATACTGGAAGAAAAACTTTTGGTATTGGGGAAGTACATACCAACTTGGGGAAGGAAGTAACTATGACTAGCTTTAGTTATAGAATAATACCCTGGGGAATACATCTCTCTCACCATTGAATAAGGAAGCTTTTACCCTTCTAGTTATGAAGCAAATTCAGATATGACAAAGTCTCTGTCTCCCTCTCTCTCATATGCAATGGAGAATTCAAACATGTAAGGCCAAATAAAATTCAAAATAACAAGAGATGAAAGATGTATACTTTCCGAGCCTGTGTTTAGCTTTACACTGAATTATAAAATAGATATACAAATGCAGAACATGAATCCATGTACACTAAGACCCCAGAGCAAAACAGAATTGTCAAGTAATTCCTGAGTAATTACTTTATTTCTCTCTGAGTTGGTCAGGACAGGATCCTCTGCTGCCAAGGCGATGCTGCTTGCTGCAATCACAAGAAGGATACACATCTCAAAGTAGCGCAGATTGACAATGTAGTGGCAAGCTCTTCGGATTCTGTCAAAGAAATCACAAATCCATGCAATGGCCACAGCATTAAACAGAACTGTGATAATTTAAAATGGAAGCATTTTATATAGCAGTTATACTATCTCTTTAGTCTTGTAGCAATCCTAGAAACCAGAAGTGGACAACTTCTTCTATCTCTCTAGATGATGGCTAAATTAAAAAATATATAAACAAATCTTTCAACACAGAATGAAATGAAAGGAGTGCTGTAAATCTTTTAATTCTACCTTACCAGTTCCTTAAAAATAATAAGAAGAAATGTAAATCAACTATACAGAGCCTTTGGTCCGATGTAACTGTTCTGTTTGGACAAGAATGGAAATAAGGTGATAAAAATGGAGTCATAAAGTTAACTTTTTGTTACGGCACAAATTCCTCAACAGGATCCTCTAAGGCTTCAGACAATTTGATCTCTACCTAAAACTGTAAAATAGATGGAATTCTCATTTTGTTTTTCTCCCTATGAAATAATTTCTCTCATACAATTCTTTTTATTAAAATAGTATGACTGATGAAAGCTAGTCAATATTTTTATCATCCAAGTATGAGTTGTTAAGAAGGTGATTTTAGCCAATAGATAATTCCAATTTGCTAGATAAGATCCAGAACATCAGGCATGATGTTAATGTCCTCCCAAAAGCCAACTTTCTATTATCCTTCAAATTCTATAACCCTGAGGATGTTGTTGGAAAATGAGGGGAAAAAAGCTGCCACACCACAGAGTCTCCTTTGTATCTGACAGGAATCCTTTTCATTTTCCATTATGTTTCTCTTCTACCTTTAGTGAACCCTTGCTGTGAGATCTCCTGCAGGGATTTCTATGAAGTGATTTACAGTAGGTGCACAATCAATTTATGTAGCATGTGATTGAGATGTTTGGGCCTGTGACTCATATAACTCTATGCATCCTGGAGTTTGTTGTATATAATAGGTACCCTAGTGGGTAGCAATGGGGCAAACTATTTGCCTGTGGCATTACTGAACTTCCTGTTTGATAACACATTCAAAAAACAAAAAACCCACAGTTCTCCGAAATAAATCAATATATTAAGCAGTTCCAGAAAGAAAGAAAATGAATGGAATATATCTCACGGGTTTGTGGTGCTGAAAATAAACATGGAGCTGTGGGGCACCATTGGTTTGCCTGTCTCAGAGCTCTTCTCCTTTTTTCGCTTTTTATTCTTCTTCTCTGTCTCTGTCTCTTCCTCTTCCTTTGTTTCTGCCTCCTTCAGCAGACTGGCCTCTCCATCTGTCTTGTTGCTAACTGTAAAATGAACAAATCTTGTTAGTTCTTTGCCTAAGAAGAAAAATGAAGTGAGTAAGCTTTTGATAGCAGGGCCCATGGAAAATAGAAGAGGATTACACATCGCACAAACACACACAAACACACAGAGAGGGAGAGATTGCTAAAGGTAAGGAAGGAACGACAAAAGCAGATAGACTGTCCAATACTACATATGTGAATGAATATGAAAAGAATAGATGGCCTTGTAGGTTGATGAGCAGGCATAGAAGACTTATTACATAAAATAAGAAGTAATCCCATCTGAAAAACTGAAAAATTCAGTCCTGAGTGGAAGGAATATGTGCATACTGTTTTTACAAAAATTACCTCCTGCACACTAGCAATTCAAATTATGGGCCAAGAAAAGTAAATTCTTCAAACTGTAATTTGCATATTTTAACCTTCAACTGTCACTGTTTCATATAACTTATTTTTGTACTTGTAATTCAATGGAAGAGAAAGGAGTGCTGCAATGGAATAAAGATCTGCCCCCCCCAACCTCTTGTAATCTTGTTGATGTGTTGCCCTGTCACTGTCTTTCTTATCTATTTGAGTGAAAGGGCTAGAAATATGGCTCTTTTTAAAAATAAAAACACTTTCAGAACTGTGTGCCCTTTAGCACATTCTAGACTTGTTTAGTACTGCAGGCAAATCATAGCATGTACCTAACCCTGCCTACTATTTATTTCCATAGCTGCTGCAGTACAAAACCAATTCCTCTGGAACTGCAGTTTAAAAATATAATTTCTGCCAAGAAAAGCATGCCATTAATTGCTATCTTATATTCTTAACACCTGGCTATAGTTAGTTAGATGGAAATCAGAAGAGAGGAGGATGAGGAGAGGGCATAAGAGGGGGCTAAACAGAAGAAACAAAAGCATTTTTGCAATAGTATTGTGTAATTAATATCCAGATTTCATAGGGAATTTTTAATTGTGAAGACACAGAAAAGCACTTTATAGTCTTTGTCAAGGGTCAGATTGCGAAAGCAGTTGGATTGAATGCTATGAAATTATCTTACTGGGATGACTATTCTATTTTTACAACTCCTATATATAAGGCATCAAAATTAATTGAAGTTTGGAATTATCCAGAAGTTATTTTTAGGCATGGCCTGACATTCCTCAAAAAAAATTATAGAAAAAGAATTATGGAGTGTTTTCTTTTGGGTTTGGTTATATTTCTTTCATGAGAAAGAGAAATCATTAGCAAAATAAAGATGGGAAAACTGGAAATGGATTGCCTTCTCTCTAGTAGGCCATAATGACATAATCTCCCAAGAACCTGGGGTGGTTAGCAATACATTATTTTTAAATAGCTAAACAGTAGTGGCCTATGACTATACAATATGCTTCAAGTGATATATGCCTGCCTCCGGAAATGTTTTATTTGAATAGTAGGAACTAACAGATAACACTTAATAGCAAGATACATTTGTTCTCAAAATATGCTTGAAAAATCTCCCTGCGACAAAAAAGCTCTGTATAATTTGTTGGATTTACATAATAAATATTTTAGTAGCATTACTCTGGATTTCTGTCTTCCTTTGGTTGAAGTTGGTCTGCAGAATCTTTTTTACTCATTGGTTTTGTGGCTAGATAATAAAAAATGGCACTTATCTTTGCTGTCAAGAGGCATCACACTCACATTACCAAGAGTTTTCAGCTTTCTTTTCCAAAATTTAGGGTGAAAATAACAGCACAGCTAAATTTCTGATAGCAAATGGATGGGATGCTTACAGTTTTCAGAGTTTAATTTTATTTTTTTAACTTTAATTTAAAATTTTATTTTATTGTTTTTAACAATCTAGTATAAGTGTAATGAACTAACATCCAAAGCTGCTTATAGTGAATGCTTCTTCCAGCTGACCTATATCAGAACAAAAATAGCTATGAAACTAAAATTAGCAGACTGCATGAGTGTAATAAGAGTTTAGTCCTCGATTCTAAATGATTTTTCCTGATGTTGCCCTGCTTTACAGGGATTTAGCAGCAGATGCAGTCAGTGGCAATCGTGGACTCTTGCTGCTTCCATTAACATGACAAAACCACCAACAGGCACAAACCATGCACCCTTTGGGTGGGGAGATGACATCATAACACACATAGAAAAGGGGTATTATGCTGAATGCCACAACTTTCATTGTTGTTGTTAATTGCGAAGTCGTGTCCGACCCATCGCGACCCCATGGACAACGTTCCTCCAGGTCTTCCTGTCCTCTACCATCTTCTGGAGTCCATTTAAATTCACACCTACTGCTTCAGTGACTCCATCCAGCCATCTCATTCTCTGTCATCCCCTTCTTCTATTACCCTCAATCTTTCCCAGCATTCACTTCTCCAGTGAATCCTTCCTTCTCATTAGGTGGCCAAAGTACTTGAGTTTCCAACTTCAGGATCTGGCCTTCTAAAGAGCAGTCGGGGTTGATCTCTTCTAGGACTGACCGGTTTGAACGCCTTGCAGTCCAAGGGACTTGCAGGAGTCTTCTCCAGCACCATAGTTCAAAGGCCTCAATTCTTTGGCGCTCAGCCTTTCTTATAGTCCAACTTTCACAGCCATACATTGCAACTGGGAAAACCATGGCCTGGACTATACGCATTTTTGTTGGCAGGGTGATGTCTCTACTTTTTAGTATGCTGTCTAGATTTGCCATAGCTTTCCTCCCCAGGAGCAAGCGTCTTTTAATTTCTTGGCTGCAGTCCCCATCTGAGGTGATCTTTGAGCCCAGAAAAATAAAATCTGTCACTACCTCCATTTCTTCCCCATCTATTTGCAGGAATTGAGAGGGCCGGATGCCATGATTTTGGTTTTCTTAATGTTGAGTTTCAAGCCAACTTTTGCACTCTCCTTCTTCACCCGCATCAAGAGGCTCTTTAGTTCCTCTTCACTTTCTGCCATTAGAGTGGTATCATCTGCATATCTTAGGTTGTTGATATTTCTCTTGGCAATCTTAATTTCAACTTTTGATTCATCTAGCCCTGCCTTTCTCATGATGTGCTCTGCATATAAGTTAAATAGGCAGGGCGACAGTATACAGCCTTGCCGGACTCCTTTTCCAATTTTGAACCAATCAGTGGTTCCGTGTTCGGTTCTCACTGTTGCTTCCTTGACCCGCATATAGGTTTCTCAACTTTCATACAATACTCTAATCCTCTCATCCCTGCCTGACTCTCCATGGATGTCACTGGACCCAGTCTGCTCTCACCATCATCTTCAGTAATTTATTTATTTATTATGCTACCCATCTATTCTATAAAGCGACTCTTTATAATTATATTATATAATTATACAGTATTATCAGCTTAAAACCAGGCCTGTTTTAAAGGGGTTCCATGTGAGAAAAGGGTTGAATGACTTCTTCATCAACTATGATGACCTGGGCAAGTTCTCCAAAGTTCAAAATGTAATATAGGATGTGAAAAGAAGAAAGAAACTCTCAGGTCTATGAGGTCTACATCCTCCATTTCTTACTAAGCTTCCTATAAACCTTCTTGCCAGCCTCTAAATAGCCTTCCTTTCTCTCAAATGTTCACCCTGGGATTGTACTGTCATCTTTCTTTCTTTCTTTCTTTCTTTCTTTCTTTCTTTCTTTCTTTCTTTCTTTCTTTCTTTCTTCCTTCATTCCTTCCTTCCTTCTTTCCTTCCTTCCTTCCTCCCTTCCTTCCTTCCTTTCATTGGAATATTTTGGAAGATATGAGAAAGGCGGTTTGTCTGAGAGATGCTCTAAATGCAACACTCACAAAGAGACTTAGCAAGCCTTTCTTTCCCTGAGATTTGCAGCCCCTTCCAAACATAGCCCACATGTTGGGACAAGAAAAAAAAAGAGCAAAAAAAGGAAGGCACCATCTCTTATCCCATCAACGGTTCATATGATAATTATTGCAATTTAATAGGTAAGGAAAGGAAAGTGGCTCATGTATTTTGAGCCAAGCCAGAGAGGAAATTTGGAAGGGGTTGCATCTCATTTCAGATGTCCTTTTATAAGACATCCCCCTAGACTTAATAAATGAATCTGGTTCAGAGAATATCAGCTGATGGCTATTTCAGCAATGTAGTACCAACACAAATTGCACCACAATAAAATCCTATAACTGTCTGAAAATTTCTTCAGTCAAACTGTCTGTTTGTGGAATAATATTCAGTCACTTCTTTATGAAAGCACCAACAAATCTATAAGAAACTTTGGCCCAATTCAACACAAAGGAGCAGAGGAATATTTTTAATTTATTTCTTGACCACATTTCCCCTCTACTACAATTCAGAGACTTTTGGTATGTTGCACAGAGTATAAAATCGAAGTATAAAACCAAATGAAACATCCATAGTTAATACAATTATGAAACAACCCCACCCAAAGTACAAAGGATAAAAATAGAAATAAAGATGTCCTGATAAAATCAGGGGAAGGCTTTCTGGAACAACTCACCTTTAAAAGTTTCTGAAATCTTAACATGGAGGGGGATATCTTGATCTCAACCAAGAATGGCTGACAATGCCGCATGGCAATCTGTATCTCCCTTTAACAGATTGAGATTTGGTGTCAAATTAGAAAAGAGATGGATACTTACTCTGTACTACAGTGGAGTCTTGAACATCAATCATGATGGTAGTGCTCTCTGTCGCTTTATCCTTGTTGGCAGTGACAGATGAAAGATCAGGCTCACTCCTGCTGATAGTCCTCTCTGTCTCCATTGATAGGTCACCCAAAAGCGCTTGTTCACTTATCTCTAGGCTGCTGCCATCTTGCTTCACTGGACTGGCCTCCTTGCTTTTGTCCAACATTTGGTGACCTTCCGAGAGACTTGGATCTTGGGTAGGCATGGGAAGCTCGGCATTATTTGCTGTTGCTTCACTGGTCCTGTGTGAAGAAATTAGAAAGAGAGGGCCATGGTAAGGGATAGAGATTATGGGCATGTGTTTGTGAGTCAAAGCAAAGGAAGGAGAAAAAGAGTAAAAATAATAGCTAGGATATCACAGTGTTTTAAATAACTTAGATATATCGGATACTTGTAGATGTGATCTTCCTAAGCACTGCAGGAAAAAAATAGCTTTTTTTTTTGCTGTAAGCTTCAAGCAATTAAAGTCTATTTTCAGAAAAAACTTGCTTTTTTAATGCATGTGTCTTATTAGGTTCTCTCTATGCAGCAATTATTAGATAACAGTATGTGGAAGAATTCTGCTCATCTATTTTGAAGCAGCCAGTGTTCTGTTCTTCCAGTTTTCTACCACCACCATTATCTTCTTTTCCAGGTTTTAAAATTGCATACTATTTGCCTAGTATGGTTCAAAGCCTGGCCATGAGACTACTTTAAATCCCTTCCACAAGGTGAACCCTGTATAAATGAATAACAACACGTTTTGGCTTACATGTTTACTTGCACTAATCTATTATTCTCTTATTATACACTATTCTATTATTATACACTTAAGAAGGCTAGAAGATTACACTTATTTATGAAGATAATGGCCTGTAAAATCCATTAATTTTCTGGGAAGATGCCTATTTCCAATGTAGTTAATTTCATACTAGTCAGTTTTACAGTGCAAAGATGGCCGCTTTTCCTTTATATCTGGATTCTGCTTTCAGGAAATGCCACATTCGGAGTAAGGCCAATTAACCTTTCCCTTTCTATTCACTGTTTTTCTAGAAAGCCTGACATCCTTCAGGATGTTTAGGGAAAAGAAGAGAAAGGAAACTCTATCCATGGAGAAGGAATGAGATCCCCTGGTTGACTTAATTACTCTGCAAAAGGAAGGTGTCCTTGGCCCTTTCTCAGAGTCATAGTACAGCCATGAATGGCAAGCTTTAGCAAAACCTCTTCAAGCTCCTTGACTTTTTTCATCTGGAAACATCTTCAACTGTGTCTCAGTTGTATGCATTTCTCCCCCAAAGCTTGGTACTATAATTTCAATTCTGCTTTCCTTAAATTATTTTCTGTGTTAAGAAGACTGGAAAACCGGCAGCAGCAAATGAGAGGATTTCAGATTAGAGACAGCATCAACTGGTCCACCTCCCTGTCAAATACTGCACATATTTGGCTCATCTAGAAATACCTCTGATTTCATGAGCACAAATTCTGGCAAGGATGACCAATTTGTATTTATATTGTACGTCAAAGGAGATTTTGAAGAGAATATCATGTCAGCAAAAACAATATAGAACAATGATGGCGAACCTTTTAGAGACCGAGTGCCCAAACTGCAATCCAAAACCCACTTATGCATCGTCGGGTGCCAGGTGGGTGTGGCCCATTGGGTGGGCGTGGCTGCGATGGTAACAGCAGTCTAGGTGAGACTAAAAGGTTCAATCAATCAATTCCATCTTTGCAAGATCTTTTTTTTTTCCCACAAGAAGTTGAAATTGACTGATTGATTGAACCTTTTTTTTGTTTTGTACACGGTGGTGGAGGCCTAAAACGAAAAGGTTTTATAAAACCTAGCTGAAGGCCTAGGACTGGGGCGATGGTGCGCGTGCCCACAGAGAGGGCTCTGAGTGCCATCTCTGGCACCCATGCCATAGGTTCACCACCACTAATATAGAACCTCTAAAAACTCAGAAAATATACTGTAGCCTTTTTTATATTAATGAATTAATGAATGGAATTATATTAATGAATGCAACAAGACAAATAATGCCTTATTGAAAAGTGCCTTGTAGAATCAGAACAGGGGATGACCTGGCTCACAACTCACAGTCTTAACCACAGTACTATACCTGCTGCCAAAGTTATTTATGACTTTAAAAACAGCCAGTGAAGAGAATTAAATTTAATCTTCCAAAGTAGATCAACATTTAAATAAATTTATTTAAATAAAATGGATTGGTTAATTATTTTGTGCCATTAAGTCAGTCTATATGGATAGATTTTCCCCATTGTGATGTGCCCCTAATTTGATCCTTCAGGTCAGGGCATTCACTGTCACTATAATTGAGTCCATCTATCTTGCCGTTCATCAACCTCTTCTTTTCGTTCCTTCCAGAGCCTTCTCCTAAGAGCTAGGTGTTTTCAAAATGTGTCCAAAGTAGGATAATTTGAGCCTCGTCATTTGTGCCTTGAGTGTGGCATTGAATTCTTTGATCATTCGTTTGTTTGTTCTCTTAGCTATCCAGAGCATTCTCATGAGTTTCCTGAAATACCAGATTTTAAATGTGTCAATACTCTTTCTAACTTGCTTCTTCAAAATCCAACTTTCAGTTCCATAGAGTGTCATAGGGAACACCACTGCCTGCCCTTGAATAGATACCTCACAGCATCGGAATATCTTTTGCAAAGGTTTTACGGTTGCCCTTCTAAGTGTTGCTGGATTCTTTACTGTTGATAGTGATCCTAAAAGATAGAAACTAACTACTATTTCAATGACTTGCTTGTCCGTTCTAAGGCTGATTGTTGTAATTAGGTTGGTCTTCTTTATATTTAATTTTAATCCCATTTTTTTCACTGCATCCTTTGGCTTCTATTACTAGAACTTGCATATCCTTCGCATTTTCAGCTATCAGAATAATGTCATTTCCATATTTCAGGATATTGATATTTCTTCATTCAATTTTAAAATCAGCTTGCTTTTTTCTGGTCCAATTTGGAATACATTAAGCATATTGGTTGAATAAATATGGGGAGAGTCTCACTACTTTGCTGACCTGGACACAAATCTATTTTGCCATGTTCTGCTCATACTGTGATTTCCTGATCCACCTGTAGGAATGACATATGAATAATGAAATGTTCTGGGATCCCCATTTTCCTAAGCACATTTCAAGCTTGACATGACTGACACAATCAAATGCTATTCTATAATCAATATGATATGCTGACTTCTTTTTAGCATTCTTTGGCTTCCTCAATCATCCAGCATGCATCAGCAATAAAGTTTTGTATTAAGTGACTTTTCCTAAATCCAGCTGGCATCTCCTTTTCCATTGTATGGCTCCAATATGCATTGAATGAGTCTATGTAGAGGGTTTCCTTCTGAGCAGGGGGTTGGGCTAGATAACCTCCAAGGTGTCTTCCAACTCTGTTATTCTATTAATTCTGTCTGTTAGGGTAAAAATATTCTACAAAGGAAATATCCCATTCTCCTGGGCTCTAGCTTCATTTCTTTCCGGTTTCTATAATGGACTTCACTTTGGCTTCACTTAATTGTCAGCTACTTCTTACTGTTTGTACAATCCAATAATTCCTAGATGATTTGAATGTATAAAAATACTGTTAGCCATAATTCCAATAATACTCAATATAGATTATTACAATTTGCTGCATTTTACTAAATGTTTATAAATATTTAGCAATCACCTATTTTGATGGTTCGCAAAAATAAGAATGGATAGGCAGATAGGCCATTTATTTCCTTGGGGAGGCACCATCGAGAACAGAATCAGATTGCCTACCTTTTCAGTTCCATGTCAGCCACTGGTTCCTTTTCAGCAACGGCCTCTTTTTCTTCTCCATTTTCCTTACGATCCCCATTCTGCTCTCCTTTTGCTGGCATGACTCCTTCTGGGCCGTTCTCTTGGCTAACTGTTCTATTCTCTTTCGGTTCAGTCCTCACCCTGCGGTGTCGGCTACGCCTCTGACTCTGCCGGAGCCGAGCCCTTTCATCAAAGCTTACGCTCCCTTTGCTTTCCTGGTCATTGATATCACAATTCCCATGAAATGATTTGTGATGCCACGTTTCCCATTCCCTCTTGGCCTGAGGAGATGGGCTTCTCTGATCATCCCGGTTGCTGGGGCAGGGTTTGGACCCTGGAAGTTTTTGCTGCAGACCTTCTCCGTTTGTCTCCTCTGGCCTACCCCCTTGATCACCCTCAATCTTTTCCAGACCAGAGCTTTCTGGTAACTTTTTTTTGTGAAAAATACTGGCATGTGGATTGAGCAGAGGAGGATCATCTTTGTTGATGCCCTCTTGACTGGACATCTGCATATGTCGGCGGAGCTGGCTAGTCCGCTGTTCCCACACAGACATGTGATGTCTCCTTCTCCTCTCCCTCCTGGGAAAGGAAAACAAATGGGTTCAATTCATCTGTGCCCTGTCAGAAACACAAGAACACATACCAGTACATACAGCATGCAACTAGGACCATACAAAAATCACATATTGGAGCTTGATTCTCTGTTTCCCTGAATTTCATTTCACAGCATCCCCAGGATAATAAGAGAATCAAGTCCACTTGCACAATGTTGACAAATCATTAGAAGGCATTTCATTCCACATTCACTGGGCACATGGCAATAAGCCTGAGCAACAACACAATGAGGCCAAAGACTGAGCACATTCACAACACTGTCTTTGTGAAAGAACCCACCATATGGCATCAGTCTGCAAGTACTGCAGTTTTAATAAACTTACAGTACACTAAAATAAGTAAGTGTTCATCAACAAGCAGGGGTATGGTAAAGGTGACTTAAAGTATTGCATGCAAGCACAAGGGCTACTCAAAACTGGCCCATTCAGTAGGCAAATGGGACATTTCCTTTACTACTCTGAAAGGGTGGCGATTTGCCAACAGCCTAAGGAGGGAAGATGGACCCAAAGAAGTACATGCAGGGGGCTCAGGAAGAAATAGCAGTAGGGGAGACATGCGGTACCAAGTCCCATTCAGGTCAGTGCCAGGGTGAAGCAAATGCATCCAGGCTGATCAGGGCCCCACCAACCCCATATTTACAGCCTGGCAGTGCTTAGGGTCTCCTCTCAATTCTTGGATTCATTCTGTCACCTGAGGCTGCAGCCCACAACCCACTGTTTTGTAAGTAAGTCCTCTTGGCACAAAGGGCAATTTACTGAATGAACCTATATAAGGTTGGATAACTAAGAAAGCTGCTCTTCTCAGTTGCTAGGGAAATTGTCTGTTAACATGCAACATCTCTACTTTTGTATCTCATTTAATCTAACAACTTTAAGGAGCAACTGCAAGTTGTAGAAGTGTTTGTCTGTGGCATTGAATGTTCCAAGGGGTTTTTGGTGATCTTATAAAATTGTATACCATAACTTTATGAATAGACATATGGATACAGGAATGAAAAGACACATGTCTAACATATTGGTAAGCAAACACACAACACACCAACATACATACTGTCGCACATGAACAATTTGAATACACACTCAGTTTACTGGACTGTATATGTACACACAACAGTGTAGTTGCTACAATACAGCTTAAGTTGGTTCACAGACCTGTTTCATACATAGAAGCATACTCTGCAAACATACATAAAACATACTCTCATACTGGTATAATACATACATATTATAGAGCCACGCTGAATTTATAGCTATTCAGACTATACACACATAAACACTACTAGATTGAAACATTCATCCATACTTACAACATAAACATAAAACAACACATACTTGAACTCAATAGCAGGAATCTATCACATACACACATGTAACCTCTCACAACAAGCAATCACATGCACACATACAGATTACTGGTACGTGGTTCCCACATCGACATGTGGTGTCTCCTCCTTCTGTCTCTTCTGGGGAAGGAAAATGAATGCATTCAGTCTAACTGCAATGTCGCTAATGGTCCCAGCACTCAGAATCCCACATAATGCACAAGCAGAAAACCAAAGAAATCTTAACACTGAAATGGGTGGCTATACAAATTTGTTAAACAAATAAACACTGATCAATCCTAATCCATTACTTTCATAATGAACATTAAATACAAGCCTATGTCTATGAGCTTGGAATACATATTTTTCACAGCTAAGAATGATACTTGTGTACAAAAGATGAAATACATAGATATTTATTCTGCACTAGACCGTGTATTGAATATGCAGCAAAAGGTCAAAACTTTATGGGAAGCTAGACTGTGTGTTTTCCTCCTCCTGAAGCAGGTTGTGTTGTTTTTAGTCTGTGGTGTCTTGTTCTATTTTATGTTTTTAATTCTTTTAATTCTTAATTATATTTTGTAAGCTGCCCAGAATCCATCCGAGTGGATGACTATATGAAATCTAATAAATAATAATAACAAAATGCCAACATTTGGTGCTGCGATAGTAATAATACAAAGGTTTTTGCCCCAAACTGCAGAGATATGAGGTCGTTTCTGGCATTGCATTTAGGACTGTCAATATATTAGGCAGAGATACATAATGAAAGTAATGATGCCCTTAAGTCAAGTTATGTCCTGGTGTGTTTCCTTGGCAATAAAATAAAAATGATGTCATTGCTTTTTCTGAGCTGTTTCATCAACCTCCATTATAGCCAATAATTAACTAGGGGCTCCATTCATTGAAGCCTTTTTGTTATAAAATAATTATTTAAATATTTCATCAGGTTCACCTATCAAATGGTAAGTCATATCTGTATCTTAGACATACAGAGAATGCTTTTTTGATACTTTGCCAACACTTTATAAAAGCATCTTCAATCAATGTCACTGTACTGTTTTGCATCTTCTATCTATTTCCACGTTGCTACTTCCTAATATGAGCTCCTTCAGAAGAAATAACTGTATATTTCATCTTGAAAATAAGCAACCGATTCTAGGCAATGGGTAAATTCACTAGAATCTTACAGTATTGAGCGATTTTCTTCATTTTTTTAAAAAAAAATAGTAGTAAAAAAGATAGATTGCAGTATTTTTGAGCTTCCTCTGAAATGTAGTTACAGAGGAGCATTAGGGCACATTATAAATATTGAATCTTCAGCAGAATTTTCAACTGTGTGCACAATCAAATGTAGGAGTTGCCTAACAGAAAAGCTGAAATTAAAAAAATAAAAATATAGGCCCATTTTCTACATCATGAAAGTTACAAGAGCAGTACAACATAAGTGGGGAAAAAAATCAGTATAACCTCTGAATCAACACACTTTTTTCTAGTCTATGTTATGCCTCCCCCATGTCTTTTATATTCTTAAAATATTGTAGACGCATGAAAAAATGGAAGGCAGGGGCAGAAATCATAATAATTTTATGAATTAAAAATAACTCTTAAACATGCAAATAAAAATCCAGGGAGATTCATCTGCTTATTAATGAACTGTAGATATACTGTATTTGTGTCTGCTTTGGGATAAGACTTTAAATAAAGTGGAACATAATTTTGTATACAATTCTCTGTATTTGTATTATCTGTAAAATTATTAGTAATTGATTTAAACTAATATAAATAATTAAAGCAACAAAAAGAATGTCAGTCAGGTATTAACCAATGAATAATGTATTGATAAATTAATGCCAGGGCATTGTCTGGTACGAAAGATCAGATGTTAAGGTTCAAGTAAATTGATTTATTGCTAAAAATCTATTTGTGGGAATCTTCTTGACTAAGGGATAGCACCTGCTTAGAGTTAGATAAGGGTCAATGGTTAGATTTTGTTGGTTCTGTCATTCCTTCTCCTAAAGGCATAAAGGTAACGTGTAGTTTTATGCCATGTCTTTCTGTGAATAAGCATGCATGGAAAATTAAGATGACTAACCGTCCTTCTTTAGGGAGGACATTCCTCCTTTTGTAAGGTCTGTCCTCCCTCGAAAAGTGTCCCCCTACATGTCCTCCTTTTTGATATTTGAAGACTAATCTTCAGGGCATTTTTTCCCTCATAGAACACTCAGAACGGCGTTCCGACATCTTTTTTTGATGGTTTTTTTTTTCAACTTTTGCATGAGCTGTGCAACTCCCCCTATTGGCTTTCGAAAGCCAATAGGAATTGCTGCTGAGCGCGCCAAAACACCCGGCCGGCAAACTTTGCACATGCAAGTTGTCTGCAGCGAAGGGAAATTGGCAGGAACTTTGCACCCCTCCCTGCTACCCAACTACACCATCTCCTACTTAGTTCCGAAGATACCTGGAGGAGACTGGAGCCGTAAGTTTCTCTTGATCTTCGGCTCTGCTAGGGCAATAATGGGTGTGGGTACAAGAGGCAGGGCGGCGGGGGTGCTGCGGGCGGAGATGTGAGGGGCGGCAGCAGCTGGCTGCCCCTCGTGTTGTGGGAGCCGCGGGGCCCTCTCTACATGGGGCTGCGCAGGGTGGATGGTGGTGCTGGCAGGGTGGCTGCAGGCAGGGTCTGTTGACAGCGGGCTGCCCCCCCCCTGGGGCCAGAGCCGGCTTGGCTGGTGCTTTGGGAGCCACAGAGCTCGCTCTACACGGCAGGGCAGTGGTGGGGGTGCGGTGGGCGGTTCACCTTCCATGGGCTGGGCCAGCTTTTACGATATTTTTTTCTTCAATTTATTTGTGTCCTCCTTTTCATTGTAAAAAAGTTGGTCACCTTAGGAAAATGGAATATGTAAAACCCACTCAAAGCAGGTGACAAGGTCAGAAAGGCTTGTTAAACATAGTTGACATAGTAGGCAGAAAATAAGAATTGGTTCAAAAGAGGCCCTCCCAGATATTTCACAAAAAATTGCTCCAGAAGAAAAGAGTTCTCATGGGAATGGAATGAGACTGTGGTGGAAAAGGATCAGGAGTTATGAGAAAAAGGCCAAGGTAGGAAAGTCAAACTCTAATGGACTAGTGAAATCTTGTTGGAAAATATAAAAATATACAGGAATTGTAGCTTAATGGGGCAATTATACAGAGCTGTTTGGATGTCCCCAGGACAAATCTTTCAGCTGAAATCAATTTTTTAACTTTGTATGTTGCTGAGAGTCACATAGATGAGATGGATGGCTATATAAATTAATTAATTAATTAATTCTGGATAGTCAATATATGTAGCTTAAGATATATGTATATGTACGTGCATATGCATGATGTATTTATATCTACCGTAGACCACACATGTGAAGGATATGAGGAATATACAAATCTTAATTACCTCAATAACTATTGTCTGCAACATAAGCTATAAAATTTATAAAATTAACTAATCCCTCATTTGCATATACCAATAGTTCTATTTGTGTCATATACAAACCACTCTCACACAGAGAACCAGTCTATGCCCACAATACATATTTCCCCACTTTCTTTCAGCAGAAACAGAAGGAAGGAAGGAAGGAAGGAAGGAAGGAAGGAAGGAAGGAAGGAAGGAAGGAAGGAAGGAAGGAAGGAAGGAAGGAAGGAAGGAAGGAAGGAGAAGCACTGGGTGGAGAGGAATAAAGAAGGAAAAGTTTGGTGCATTATGATAGAATGGACTTCATAAAACAAGCAATTTCTACCTCATTTATTTCTTTTCATAGACTGTTCTTTTCAGTAAATGTAACAGAACCCAACAAACACCACTCTGATTCATAGAAAATTATCTGGGGGAAAATAACTTCCTCTTGGAGAAATTAGATATTTACTTTTAAAGTTCTGAAACATGGGTGTCCTCTATAAGTATGACTAAATTACTTGAAGGACAACATGCCCCCATCTATGTATAATCAGGATGTAAGAGATTCTGTTTTCTGCCCAAAATTAAGGTTGGTCTGATTGATGGGCAGCAAGGGTAAATCTTTTTCAGTTGTGACTTCATGCCATATGAAATCTCTCTCCTGAGAACGTTTGTGGCTACTCAGCTTTAATTTATTTAAAGGTTTTTTTAATTCTACATTTTTATGGATCAATTTACTGACTTTTACTTTATGGTTCAGTTTGAACTTTTAATATTTACTCAACATTTGGTAGTAACCTATCATATTAGTGCACTAGCACCTCCCTCATGTTCCTCAGTAGCTTTTTTATTGTTGCTGTTCCTTCAAGACTGTCTTTGCTCCTGGTGACTCCTGGACTAGGCCTTGCAGTTTTCATGGCAGCATTCTCAGAAGTACTTTGCATTGCCTGCTTCTTAGGGCTGAAAGAGAGTAACTTTGCCCAACTTGTTTTCTGCTTAAGTCAGGATTATAACTCAGGTTTCCATTCTGATGCCTTAACCGCTACATCAAATACTGGACATAATATGATACTAAAAAAGTGACATCTGAGTGGTCCTTGCACTTATGGCCATTATAGCATCCTATCGTTACATGATTACAATTCGGATGCTTGGCAACCTGACATGCATTTATGACATTTGCAGCATCCTAAGGTCACATGGCCATCCTTTGTGGCCTTCCCAGGTGGCTTCTGACAGGTAAAGTCAATGGGGTAAGCCAGATTTGTGTAATGACTAGAGCAAAACAGGTTACAAAATCAGGTGCGAGTCATTCAATGAACACATCACTTAGCAACAGAAGATCTGGTCCCAACTGGGATTGTAAATCAAGCATTACTTGTATTTTTTCTTATTCTCCTCTTAAAGCCACCCAACGTGTCTAAGTTAAGGATCACTGATTGTCATGTTAGCAAATTAATAACTTTTTTAAGGAAAACATTGTGTAGATTTTTCTTCCTTTTCCGTATCTTGAATTTTCTACTGTTTGAGTTCACTGAATGATAAATGGTTCTCAATTGTATACATTATTTACGTATTTGTGAAATTTATTTGCTGCACACCTCTGGCTGACTTACAACGCAAGCATATTACATTACATTTATGTTTCTTTCTCCTAGGACTCTAGGTAGCTTATCCTCGACTTAAAACAGTTCGTTTAGTGGCCATTCAAAGTTACAACGACACTGAAAAAAGTAATTTATGACTGTTTTTCACAGTTACGACCTTTCCAGCATCCCCATGATCATGTGATCAAAATTGAAATGCTTGACAACTAGTTCATATTTATGACTGTTGTTGTGTCCCAAGATCATGTGATCACTGTTTGTGACCTTCTGACAAGCAAAGTTAATGGGGAAGCCAGATTCAACAAGTGGGTTGCTAACTTATCAACTGCAGATTAACTTAACAACTGAAGCAAGAAAGGTTGTAAAATGGGGCAAAATTCACTTAACAAATGTCTCACTTTATAACAGAAATTTGGGCTCATAATTCAAGGACTACTTTACTTCACAGAAAAACATTACAACATGTTTTAAAATAATGTAATTACCAAGCAGAGGAGCCAAGCAGCAAACTCAGAGGACAAGCCTCTGCCTAAATCTATAACCTGAGCTATAAATATTCTCTACAATTTCTAATAATTACCAATACATTAAAATAAATTAAATATTAAAAAAATATGTAGCCTCTATCTTTGAGTGCTCCATCCATAATTTGACTGCTTTCCCTAAATTGCATCCTGTGCCCCCCAAAAACAACAGAATTGAGTGAGGCAAAGAGGGAACCATATTCATCTGTGGGTGGGGGTAGAGCCATTTCTCAGCAAATGAACTCAGGTACTCCTCAACTTACAAATACGACTGGAACTTCTGTCATTAAGTGAGGTAGTTGTTAAGTGACTCATGTCTGATTTTAATCTTTTTTGCTGCAGCTATTAAACAAGTCATCACAGCTGTTAAATAAATCATGCTGTTGTTAAATAAATCTAGCTTCCTCCATTGACTTTGCTTGTCAGAAACCAGCTGGAAAGTTACAATTGGTGAGCACATGATCTTGACTTACTGTAACCATTGTAAATATATGCTGATTACCAAGGGTCCAAGTTCTGAGTATGGGGCCATAGGGATGCTGCAATGGTCATAAGTGCAAGGAATGGTCATAAGTCACTTTTTTCAGTGTTTGTAATGGTTGTAAAACGAATAGTCACAAATCAAGGGGTACCTGTATCATTGACCTCGACCTTGACTCTTACCCTGCCTTTTTTGCTTATGTTAGAGCCACTAGATTCTTTGCTATAGGAACCTGCAACCCCTGCATAATTGGTGATACTGTAACAGTAAAGTTATATTGACCAATCAATAAGCAGGCAGATCGATTATGGACCAACTGAAGCATCTGAAAGTGTGGGTTTATGTGGAGCAAACTGCTAGGTGTAAGGTAACCAAGGGGATACATTACCATTGCCACTGTTTCCTGGTTTGGGAAAGGCTGCAATTGTGCGTTAGCCAAAATTGGAAAATACCCTCCTGGACAAGAAGTCCACCAATTGTACTAGCTGGAGTCACAAAAACATTTCTACTTGCTGAGCTATAGTGCCCCTCCCACATCAGGAGGTAAAGAAGAAGGAAGCTTGTACCCCAAGGGCTTCTGGGATTCATCCTAAGCCTGTTCTGTCCTATTCAGCCTCTCACATTTCTGGGCATCGGGACAACATTTCTACCACTTCCACTGTTCAGTTTGGAGTATGTCATTAATGATTTCACTCCTAACTTGCAGATGAGCTCTCCCAAAAAAATTATGTAGATATTAAAAACAGTGAGGGAGAGGTGATTCCTGGTGTACCCCACAAGAAATTTCCAATGGTGCAGACATCTCTTCCCTCTTCTCTCTGCAGTTAGAGTACACCACTAAGGGAGGAAGAGAAAGACTATAAAATAATATCTCTGCCAATCCTTACAGGTGGTTGAAAGAGACACCTTCATGGTTGAATATCTCAAATTCTGCCATTGTACAAAGAGGGGTACATTCTCCACCTCTAAGCCTCCATAAGACTGACCAATATAGCTTCTGTCCATTTCTGACAATTGAATCCACACTGGATTCATTTGCAGCCCTCTGCCCATCTATCTTCTCAACAACTTTCCCTGAAAAAAGGAGGGAGTCTGGCAATATTTTTCTAAATTACTAGTAGCATTGTTAGTATTAGTGATGATCATGAGAAATTTGGTAGATGTTACAGTTGCTTGATAGGAAGCATAAGAACCTCTCTTTTGTTTTTCATTTTTCTACCACTTGAGAACATATTTCATTAGTGTAAGCATTTATAAAAAAAATCTGCTGAAAATATTAATGGAAACAGTATCAGCAGTTTTGATTGAGGGGGCTGAAAGAGATTGAATGATTTAACTTACTTGAAAAGAAAAAAAAAATCATCAATATCAAATAGCTGGAAATATTTTTTCCATCCTTATCTGGACTTCTAAAAAGTAAAGTTTAATTGCCTTCATGAATAAGAAACTATTTAATATAGAGTCAGGCCACTGATTCACCTAGCTTAGCAATAACTCTACTAGTACATGGTTTTTCTGCTAAAAACCTCTAAAGATTGTCCTTGGAAGTTTCCATATGCCAAGCAAACATTATGCCTTGTTTTATATTTTCTCAATCTTATATGTTCTACTCTTTGTTTCTCAGAGTTATGACTATAGCAAGTTTGGGGATGTAATGTGGCCCATGATGAATGAGACTGGAAACTCACTCTATAGCAGGCATGTTGGGAGCAGACATTGGACTGACTTCTTTGGCTTTCTGTAGAGCATGCTTTTGATTGAAAGCCTCTTCTTCCTCCTGCTCATCCTAAATAAAAGGCAAAGGCACTGGTTAAATAGGAGAAAAGGTTGTATACTTTGAATGAATGAATGATCTCAAGTTGCAACAGTGAGGTTTGTACTACCATTTTAAATATGCTTGAGATCATGGATAAGAAAGGTGCATGGGCTTTGGTCATCTATAGGACATACCTATGCTATACAGTACATAAACATCCCTACTGGAAAACCCATTTATTCAGACTACTTCAAAGATCTATATATCCAATCTACAGGTAGTCCTCAGTTTATAACCACTCTTTCAGTGACTTTTCAAAGTTGGTTTGGTGCAGAATGAATGGTAACTTATGACTCTTTGGAGTTCCATCACAATGTCCCCTCTAAACTCTTCATAGTAGCTAGCCTGTAATTTTCAAATGATGTCTTATATAGGACTTTTTCTAAATCAGATTTTGGGCAATACAGAAGACTGTGACATTGTACCATGAGAAATGGTATATTTACAGCTCATTTCCAATGCATACCAGTTTAAATCTTTAAATCATGGGAATGGAAGGGGCTTTGGAAATCTTCTAATCCAACCCCCCCACCCAAGGCAGGAGACCTTATTGCATCCCGGACAAATGGCTATCCAATCTTCTTCTGAAGATGGAGATGATTGTAAATATTCCTTGGAAATATTCACTGATTCTTTTTTAAGAGTGTGGTGGGATATAAATTTGAATAATAAATAACAATGATAAATAATACTTGAATGAATTACTTATACAAAATATCACAGGTCTTTTTCATTTTGAGAAGTATATTTATCTGACAAGAGGCAGAAAAAATGGATTCTGTTCTGTTTCATTCCCATTGACTGTGACAGAGGTTTGTCTCTAACAGAGGTCTGCTTAACATCCATGTAGTACAAATGATTAGCATTATATTTCTATTTCTACCAAAACAGCATGATGAAAGCAGCAGTGGTCACAGTTTCTTAACTTGACTCATTGCATATTTTCTAATAACGTGTCGTAAGCACGTAATTTCTAGTGAAACTCATCTAGGCATGATTCCAATTTATAACTGTAATTTAATAATTGCACAAGTATCAACAGGCAAACTGGAGAAAAATGTGAAATTTGTGATGCTGAGATTTGTGATGCTGAGCTATTAAAGAGATAGCTATATAGACTCTGATGATTGTAATGAGAAAGAATGATTATATCTATGAACTAAGTAATCTGAATAAGAAGAATGTAGGCCTAGCTGAAATGAAAAGAGCTTTTGCCTATTGGTAGAAGAAACTGGCAAAAGCTGTTCAAATAAAATCAATGGGGAAAATATTAAGTAATGGGAGAAGGCAGAGTCTAAGGATATGTCTCATACATGATGGATACCTGTTTTGCTTGCCTCTTTATTGTGCAATATTCTTCTTGTACATAATTGGATTATTTTTATTGTTTTGCAAACTATTAAGGCGATAACTGCTATAGAAGGATGAAAAGTCTGGAGAAGTGAAGTCTTCTCCCTGTTCCAAAAGAGGGGGTCAATCCTCCAAAGACAGGACAAGAAGCAATGAGTGAAAATTAATTAAGGAGAGAACCAACCTAGAACTAAGGAGAAATTTCCTGACAGAACAGGCAATCAACTTACCTCCAGAACTTGTGGGTGCTCCAACAATGGAAGTTTTTAAGAAAAGATTGGGCAATCATTTGTCTGAAATAGTATAGGGTGTTCTGTCTGATCAGGGGCAGAACTAGAACACTTCCAAAGTCCCTTCCAACTCTGTTATTCTGTTATTCTTAAAGCCATTATTACTAAACTCCAGCTCCTAAATTCCAAATATGCTTGAGTAGAAGAGGACTCCTTATTACTGATAAAAAGCTCCTTGTGTTGGCTGAAAAAGATCCTTTGTTTTATATTAATGCTATACATGCCAAGGTTAAGCTCATGACAGTCTCTTAAAATTTAAGTCAGATAAATCAGATTTAAAACTATATCCTATCAAAATGATATAATCATGATTAAGAATACATTGACTTTTATATTATTAAGATACAGTAGATGTTAATGCTAGAATTTATTACCTTTGTCAGTTCCTGTGCATTGGCTAGGTTGTCCACAGCGATGGCCAAGAATACATTAAGTAGGGTATCTAGAATAGTTGAGGGATGAATGAAACTTCACATTAAAGTAGCTAGATGGACATAATGCAGAATCAACCTGCCAGGTAGAAATTTACTACTTATTCAAGTAGGAAGGGTTGTAGCTTTCTAATCTAAACAATACCTAAACAATAATTTGATGGGGAAAAGAAAATAGAGCATGGATAAAAATTTCAATTAAAAAAAATGGCCTAAGGAAAAAGAGTGATGAACAGGTCATCTTTTTACCTTCTAAATCCTGTGAAACAGCCTAAAACTAGTTACAGGTATTCTTACTATGACAACCTTGAAACTTGGGGAACATCATGCAAGTTGGTTGGCCAGCAAAAGAGTATCGAAAATATTAAGAATTATATTTGTTTAATGTTGACAAAGGCGAATACTATTAGAAGAAGAGAAGATCAAGGAAATATATTATTAATTAATATATTGATTATATTGATTATGGAATAATGGAACTTAATCATTATTGGTTGTTTTTAAATATATGAACCCAGAGAACATGCTGTTTATCAAGCCCCAAAGATTGTTATCGTAAAAAACCAATACATTATAAAAAAAGAATACAAAAAAGTTATCCAACCAGTGTGCCATTTCTCCATCCAAGTATTGAGTCTAGTGCTTTTTAAAAGAAAAGGGGTTAAGCAACATGATGACCTATCAAAACCAACTGTGAGGCGCTAGTTTGATGTATAGTAATTTAATTTCTTGAGGAGAGTAGGGAGAGCCCAGAAGCCAAGAGGCAAGGCTCCCAAGTTTCATATTTCAATTACAAAAACTATTGAGTACTGAAACAGGAAGTCTGCTGAATGGAGATGATAATGTGGAAACACAGTGGCACAGAATCAATTCAGGACTGGCAAATGTTAAATGTGGGGATAGCCTAAATGATGAGTCTTACGGGTGTTAACAGAGTGCTCCCATTACTACTTTCCATTACTACTTTCCATGTATTTCAAAATAATACATTAAGAAGGATACAGTTTCCAAATAATGTGAGGACTATGAAGTAGATGGATGACCACATTCCTGAGCTGACACCACCTTGAGAGCGAATTCCATTGTACATCACTTCATTCCAATCTTCACCTGTTAATATCTAAACAAACAGTTGATTTGATTACTATTCTGAAGTTCAAGGGAACTTTCAGAGGGATCTCCATTCATTTTATCTCATAACACCAAGATAGGACAGGCCAAAAGAGAGTGAACCACATATAGTTAATTCCATTGGCTAAGGATTCCCATGTATTACTCCAATTCCTTAAGCAGGAGTGCTACTGTTTCAGGCATAGGCAGATTATTAATACTAAATTATAAAACACAAAACACAAAAAGTTATTTTTCCCCAATTCTGGTGACGAGTTCATTTTAAAAAAAATTTAACCAGAGATGCCTAATAATTAATAACTTAGTTGTTATAGTTACAGTTATAGTTTTCAGTTGGTCTGATCAAATATATATATATAATTGTCCTCTTGTGAATTCTAGTTCTTGCCATTACAATTCAGTTTTATTTAACTATTAAATCGTGTGGGCATTTTTATTAAATACTGCTGTGGAGGCTAACTTTATAAAGAATTTTGTTATCTTTGCCTGACAGAAAGAAAATGAAACATGAAAAGGAGTTGAACCCAATCTTGGGAGTTGTATTTGAGTTCTATGCAATTAGCTTAAAGTCCATACTGCTTTTGTACCCACTCAGTACTGACTGTTGAACTGATTTGATTTCTAAGACATCACAATCAAATGATTCTCCATGTTGCACAAAGATAATTACAAAATGTATAAGCATACAGTATCTAAAATATAATAAACAACAATTACAAAGAATATTATAAAACATATTTATGGTGTTCTTTCAATAAATTAAATTTTAAAAGCCCTCTGGAACAGCTCTGTTTTGACTTGTTTCCAGGAGGGCAATAACAGTGGAACTGATGTAGCTTTTTAATATAATTTTTTTCAGGGAAGGGTTTCATAATTGAGGGTTTTTTATTGTATGACTGTAAGCTGCCTGGAGTCACTTCAGTGACATGGATGGCATAGAAGTTTAATAATAAATATGACAAAAATATTTCTTACTAGCCTCATCCCTCCAAGTGCACAGTAGCGTGGATCTAAAAGTAATTTTTCTGAAGATGTTATAGGGAAAATTGATTTTAGTTGAAGTAGGTGGTCTTAAAGGTACATTGGTTTCAAACTACATAGGGCTTCATAAGTTAAAATCTGCACTTTCAATTTCACCCAATGTAAGGCTTGTATCTTGCTCTTTCTTATTTAAATATTTTCTTAACATTTGACACATCTTACTAAGCAATAATGTGATTTGACGTTGGCTTTGCAGAGCATGTGATCTGCAACTAGGCATTGTGGATTATTCAACAACCACAATTAAACAAGCCATAGATTAGCATGATCTGTAAACCAGGCCACAATGTTTTATTATTTTTTTTCCAAGCTGACTGATGGGGAGAAAACTCTATATTTGGATTGTTTGTTCAAACATTTCACATCTGTTAATTGACACTTAACTATTCTCATTATTTTGGATTTGGCAAGGTGGGATGATAGTTTGGTTCCGGAAAAAAATACTTGCTTCTTCCAAAATGATATTTTGATGACCTAGTCTCAGATCTCCCAGTCCTTCCCAAATGCCTTTCCATTCTTAGTGGGCTCCCCTCTATAGCAGCCATACTCCTTATTATCAATAAGGTTGGGGAAATGCACAAAATCAGGACATGCAAATAACAAAGAGGAAGGGACAGCACTTTGACATTTAATTATCATTTTAAGAGCAGTACCTTTCTGATATATAATGCCCCCCATGAAAATAAATTATTGTAATAAAAGCCTGTATGTTGCTTTTAATTTCTCTAATACCAGGTTGCAAAGCACAGAGTTATACCTGGAAAACTGTCATGATGGCTGCAGGAAAGGTATCAAAATTTGCTGAAGGAGTGCCATCCATAAAATTAAATCTGTTTACAAAAAAAAAAAAAACACAAATGTGAACATTAATGCTAGGACCTGTTTATTATTCAGCCTACAAAAAAGAGCAAAAGGTTGAATTATCTAACCTACTGGTCTCTTTCTCTAATTCTACAAATTCAGAGAGGTGATGGACTTCCTTTTACTGGATTGGCTCAAATGAAAGCCAGACAGTCATTGGCTGGGATGTGTTAATTTGGATTCTTGCAGGGAGCTGATAGTCTAATGGCCCCTGCATGGCAGAAAAATAGAATCTGGGCAAAAGTAATATAGAGTAATAATATAGCTGAAAAGATTATTCAGGAATTATCTTTGAAGAGCAATGGAGAGCAACAACGATCTGATTTAGATATTTAATTGTAACTCCTTATCATTGAAAGCATGATCTCAATCTTCTGCCGCTTCTCTGGAGTCTAACAAATTGCCAATGTGTACAAATTTCCAAATGCAGAAGTAAAAGCTATGAATCTTTCAAACCATTTTTTTAAAAAGCAACTGAAAGACTGCTAAAATGCTTATTTCTGTGACAGCTACTGCATATTATGTTTTTGCAATAAATCTGCAAAATAGAAGAAAGGTATATCTTCCCCAAAAAAATTTCAGAATCAATTTAACCAGGCCCTCATCTCTTGCAGGAAGCCCATAAGAAATTGCTCTCCTAGTGTACTGCAGCATTAAGTAGCATTAATGGAAAACCTTATGGAAGCTTTTTGGAAAAATCTAGTATTTTGGGTAACATGTTAAAGAAGCTTTCTTTGTTTATATACTTACCTGCCACCAAAAAGCTGCATCCCAAGTAGAGCAAAGACTACAATGAAGAGGAAAAGGAGGAAGAGCAGGCTGATAATAGACTTCATAGAACTCATCAGAGAGACCACCAAATTCCTCAAGGAAGCCCAATACCTGGAAAATCCAGATGTTGTTATAGCCTGCTTCCAAAAGCATCAACCATGCTGTAGCAGCCAAGCTGCTCCATTGTTTAATAGTCTCACAATCAAGAAATTCCCTTTAGTTCAAGTATCTCTCACTGTAAAGCTTCTACCCATTGGTTCTTGTCTTACCCTGAGGAGCTAGAGAGAATATATCTAACCCCTCTTCCCTGGGAAACCCCTTCATGTATCAGAAGAATTCTATCATACCTCCCCTTAATCCATTTAAGAGAAACACAACAAGTTCCTTTAACTGCTCTTTGTAGGATTTAGCCTCCAATCCCCTTAGCATCTTTGTTATTCTTCTCTGCACTCTTTTAAGTTCCTCAGCATCTTTTTTGTACTATGGAATCAAGACCTTTATACAGTATTCCAGATGTGGCTTGACAGATGAATCATAGAGTGGTACTATGACTTTGATACTAAACATCTATTGATGCTGCCCAAATTGTAGTGGCTTTTTTGGCAGCTGCAACACATTGCTAGAACATTCTTAACGTGATGCACCAAGAGTCCAAGATTTTTCCCGCAAATACTACTACCAAGTCAGATACTATCTATCTTGTTTGTATTCTCTAGATATGGCTTTTCCTACTTAAGTGCAGAATCTTAAATTTCTCAACAGAACAACATTTGTAAAATAGCCCCCAATGTTCAAATTTATCAAGATCCTTTTGAATCTTGATCCTTTCCTCCATTTTGTATCATCCATATATTTTATCAGCAGTTCCCTCATCTAAATCATAGATGTTGAAATAATCCTGAGGCATATTAAGGATCACATATTGGATATACAGTAGTTGTTCAGTCAAGTTGTGAATCCATCTTATAGTGGAAACATCCAGCCCACATTTTTCCACTTCATCAAGAAAGGAGACTATCGTCTGCCTTATCAATTCCTAAAGACTAAATATACTATAACCACAGCATTCTTTTGGTCAACTAATCTAGTCACCTCATCAAAGAAAGCAATAAGATTCATGTGATGCGACTTGTTTTTAACAAATCCATACTGGATTCTGATAATTACCCTATTTGTTTCTAAATGCTCAAACACCCACTGCTTAATTATTTTTTGTAGGATATTCTCAGGTATTGATGTCATGCTGATCAGCTCTACTTTTTTCTGTTTCTTAAATATTGGAACCATGCTGGCTGTTTTCCAGTCTTCTAGAACATCCACTATGTTCCAAGGAAAATTTGTGAGCATAAGTGTGTGTATATTAAGGAGAATGATGTGTTATTATATTAGATCAGTTTTAGCTTTCTAAATTTTTGCTTACTTTTTTTTAGGTAGATAGCCCAATATAATTAACACTAAGGATGATGAAGAGGGGGAAGTTATTATCTGTCAATCAAATAATAAAAAAAAGGCAGAGGAATAGGACAGAGGAAACACTGAGAAAACAGGTAAAATAAATCTCACTTTGTGACTTTAAAGATCCGTAGGAGTCGTAGGGCTCGCATGACACTAATCCCAAAAGAGGTCCCAGGTCTAAAGATAGCCCAAACTACTTCAAAGATGCTCCCCACTGTAACCTAAGAGAGAAAACACATGCAGGTCCTGAAATAATATAGTGTTCTCCAAATTACATCCCTCTGAGAATACTATATTCGACTATAATCCCAATTGTCTCTTTCAATCAATGTGAACAATTCCCTTTCTCAAAAGGTGCTTCACACAGTTGTGTTCTCTTGTGCACACAAGATCAACACATATATTTACACTGTGAAATGAAACTGAGCAATAGCAACAATGAAAGTGCTATATATTTTATTTCATTCTTTTTAGAGCTACCTTGTGTTCTAAATTGTACAAAATATATCACCAGAAAACAATGTAAAGTACTGAATTACTAAACCCTAATAGAAGCAACACACTGGCTAGTTTTATGGCAATTCAATAATCAGAGCTTCTTTCAAAGAATCCTAAAAACTGTGGCTTGTTGGCAATGCCAAATAGCTGGTGTCTTCTACTTTACAGAATTGTTGTACCAACTATTTTCTGAAGAGAAATTATTTTTTAACCAATTAGGCTAAATATAGGTATTCTTGGAGTTTGTCTATTAAGAATAAGAACAAGAAAAACGATTAAGAAGTAATGACTTTGCTATTTTTATATATGATTATTATTGCTATATTACTATTTGCAGAAAAATGGAAAGACCTACAGCAGAGAACTCAATGATGAACATGATAGAACTAGCAAAGATGGCAAAATTGACTTGTTTGATTACAGAAAGATCAACAACTATATTTATTAGTAACTGGAAACCACGTGGACATTTTGCTAAAAAAAAGACAAAATAAAGTTGTAATTTCTGAGTTCAAATGGTGATTTGAAAGGATAGCATACATAAAGCAGGAAAGTGTGATATAATCTTAAAGAGAGAAGATAAAATAAATCTACTTATAATCATTGTCAATAAGATCAGAAGCCACTTCCTTGTAATCTTTTCTTTTTATTTTTCTCTTTTATTTTTCCACTATGCCCTGTTTTTATTTATCTACTCTATTTTTTTCCAGTTTCACTGGTGGAAATTTCCAGTGAGCAAAATTATTGCTTCCATCCATCCATCCATTCATTGTATTCCTGGCTCTATATAATAAGACTGTCTCCTGCTATTTTTTTTACTTTTAGTACTGACATCTTCCCAGAAATCCACTTCTTTCCTAATCCTCTTGTAGGAAAGAGCTGCACCCTGATAGCCAATTAAAAGGTAAGTTTGAAGAAATGCCTTCCTTCTGACATACACAGACTACATAGAGGCACTATATGCATAACCATCATTTTAATCAAATTACTCTAAAACTTTCCTCTGAACCAGCTTTCGTTTGGTCATCTTTGGCCCCACATTCTCTGCCCTATTCATTTATAAGGGTTTATTCACATCAGTGCATTTCTCTAATTAACTTATTTCCTTCATTATCATTTGCCCTGCTTACCCCGCAGTCAAAACAGTTGAAAGAAGAATGAAAATAAAGACGTGGTCCCATTCCATACATCTTCAAAGACATCTCTAGGAGGAACAGCCCCAGAAATATAAACTCTGCATAGTCTGAAAGAAAGCCATCCCAGTGAGTTAATTCTAGTTCTACCTTTCTATCGCATTCATTTTTTAAAGATTTTTTTTTAATGAATGATATACCTTCAAATATCAGGCTGACATTGTCAAATTTCTCTACCTGATTGGGTATCCAATCAAACAAGGAGCTTATAAAAATGTGGGGAAAATAATAAAAATTGCTTCTCTATCCAACTTCCAAGAATAAATTACAATAGTGGGCAAAATTGTGGAAACCTGTTGGGAAAACTGTACAGTAGAAATGCCACCTTTGGTTAAGTTTTCACCATTTTTTCTTCTAATTTCTTTATAACTGTAGCCTTATTCAATTAATAATACTATTTTACATCACTTTCTGGGTAACCATTACTTTAATTTTATTACATTTTACAAGCTCACTAAATGAAACAACACAAAAAACCCCAACCAATTTGATAGCAATCACATAACACACTGACAAATGTCCTCCTCTTAGCTTCAATACTTGACATCAGTAACTGAATCCTGTGATCTGATTGGCTCATTGCCAAAACAAGATGACACCTGATTGGCTCTCTAAACACTCATGCTCATTGGCTACAATCAGATGAAGGAAAGCTACCTAAGCAAGTTGTGCTTCCTTTTTCTGGTTATTTGGCTACAACTTTTCATAGAATACAGTACAGATAATTGAACAAACTATGTTGCATTACATTCTTGATTAAATTATCTTTCCATTGATATATAATTTTATGGTACTACTCCCCCAAAAGTGGTGGTGTTAGCCATCAAACCTCAAAAATATACTTTTCCCAAAAGGTTTTCACAATTAGAAGGCCCATCAGGGGATCATCAATTTCTGCTGATGCACTTTTGCCTGCTGGTATTCTTACAAATTAAGTTGCATTTTTATATTATCAAATCAGAAATTTAAGATATTTTATTTGAGTCAGCGTCTCAGTATCATTAAAATGCAGATGTCTGCAATAAAAATAAATGGTAACATGAGATGAACTTAGTCCATCTCTGCTTTAACTATCCTTCAAGCATTCTTCTTTCTAGACACCTAATGATTTGAATTATTTTGATTTAGTTTTACTTTAGCAAGCAATATTTTGGAAAACTTTAGCGGATTGGGTTAGCAGTTGTGGTGTTCGGAACTCAAGAGTCAAATATTCTTTTCCAGATTAGGCTTTTTACAAAAGTTTATCAATAATTTCACAATTTTGACTTGCTATTCTTTCCAGACCTGTTGTTCTTCTGGCTGCTATTTATTTGGGGTGCTCTTGTGGCCTATACAATTTTGTTTATAAGCATCCATGATGCCATTACCAAATTAAGTTTGTGACACCATTAACAAAATAATGCAGATTGCCCATTTTATTAGTAAGTATAAAAAGAAATGAAGTCAGTGATAACCAAAACATTATTATTTCAATTTGCAATTCTAAAAACTGATCTGTTTGAAAATTTGAATGTATTCTGTGTTTTCCCAACATATGCATTTTCTTTTTCGCTTTCTCCTAATATATCCATTCTGCACACATTAACAAATTGTGAACTACATTACAATATTCACGAAAATGTAGATATTTCCATATAACTACTTTTTGGGTTGCATTTCTTTTGGGTTATGTATTGAAAAACTTCAATACCCTTCTTTCCAGTGAATGCAACTGAGGATTTTCCCTAACTTAATTGTGGAAGTAAGAAAGAAATTTATCGCTGTTCTCATATACTTCCTCATGAGAACATTTCCTCAATGGAATATAATTTTGATCTAAATTTCTGTCACAATATGATTATGCTGCACAATCACCAACATTCCAACTGGGAATGCTTAGTCTCTGCTTGGAGGTGAGACGCTTTTACTTATAATGCAGTTGGTTCTAGGTTAGTGTTTCTTGTTTGCTTCAAATTGGTTGCAAAAATGTTGCATGAACTCCATCACTTACTTAGCAGATGTGTAAGCCATGCAGGCTGTTTGTGATGGACAATAGCCACACAAGCAGTGTTGAGGGCCACTATGCCCAGGACAAGCCAATAGAACACCTGGGATTTCACCATATGACGAACAGAGATCCGCAAGAGGCGTTCCTTGTGTCGGAAGTATGAGGCTCCATCCAATTTTGCACTTTTGATGCTGGATCGAGCAAGTGGGGTTCCTACAATGAAATGAATAAGAGGGATAGGAAGTGCTGAGAGCTATTAGAATGCACAATAGGCTTTAATTATTAAAAAGCTTACAGTTATTCTGTCATTGTCTCTTCTGTCATGTGGCCTTTCTTTACCTGTCTGGAAGTTTTTCTTCCTACCTTCCTACCTTCTTCCTACCTTCTATCCACAAAACATCAAAGGAAACAATAGCATCTCCAGTTGACTGTACAGCAACTGTAGTGTATAGCTGTTTATAGCAAATATATAGTTGTCCAGTTTATTTACAATAGGGCTGATCTGTTTCTTCACTCCTGTTTGAATGTGGTTTCATGATTTGGGACAAATATTATATTGTAGTAGAATGAGGTACCTTAACTGACTAAAGGACATACATTGTTAGCTTCATCTTACCCACAGATGAGATATCCACACGCTCATCACTAGAATCACGATTCATGGCTTCTGTCCGGTTCCTTTTAATAGTTGCTCTCCTAAGTACTAAAAATGGAGAAGAAAAAGCACATCAGTAAATATTACCTCTATATTATGCAGTAACAGTGGGCAGTTCCTCTTTTAGTTTACAATAACTGAGCAGAAACTTAATTCTTCCTGGAGGTACAGTTGTAATGAGAGCCAACAATGGTAGGAATTTCACTGGGTATATACACTATGCTTTGCTTTAGGATATAATACACATCACTTAACTCCATATACTTTTGTAATTTTAGTGTATGAATTCTTTGTTATTCTTTGTTAAAATTAAAGTTGGACAGTTTGCTTTAAGTATAATTTCTAAATCACTATGAGGGTTAAAATAGGAACTAGTTGTTCCTGGGGCAGAGATAAATATTATGTATGCATACAAGAACTGCTTAGTTCCAAAACCATTAAATGTTATACTATGTATCCATTCATTTGGGAGGAGGTAGAAGACATGGCTCCAGGGCTGTAAAACCCTATTATAACTATTCATTGAGACAACATTATTTTTGTCTCAATACAATTTCTAATCTAGCTGACCCATATCTGAGACGTCTGAAAACTTATGTACTGAAAACTTGGAATACATTTGTCTAAGAAAAGTGTTAGATTTATCGAACTTGGAGTGTTGCCAGAAGGTAGCACTTTGTTTTGTTGGAAAGAACTGTCTACTTCATACTGAAATACTGGATTCATGATGGGCTCGTTTTCAGTCTTTTAATGGACTCCTTATAAAAATAATGGAAAGACCAATCAGTATGATCCTGTACAGATTAATTCACTCTTAAAAAACAAAGTCACAGTTGTATACAGTTTCTATGCTTTGTTAGTTCCTTTTTAACAATTTTTCCTATGTATTTATTCCGTTTTTTTCTTTTCCATATTCAGGTAGTTTTCACTTAGCTACCACAATTACTAGCAACTTGGTCACTATGCAAGGCAGTCACAAAATGAAACCACAACTGTGCTTGCGCAATTATTCCAGCTTTCAGCTTTACAGATTTGTAAAAAAAATAAAGTTATTTTTTCATCACCATTGTGATGAAAACTATGAGGCAGTTACTAAAAGAGGACTACCTGTATTATTTTGTAGAAGTAACAATTTTTCTTCTTTTTTAAATGGATATTATATTAAATTACCAAAACCTAACATTTGTTGACTCTTCAATGTTAGGTGCAGTAGAAATGGGACTATCAACTGATATGGAAACCACATGCTACCTTGCTTGTTAACATTTTGAGCTGACTCAAATGTCAGCGGGTATGCTTGAGAATGCCAACATCTGGATCACTTGACAAACCTGCCATGCTTCCTGGCTGCTAGATTCCCCCCCCCCCTTATGTGGGAGACACATATTCATGCCCTGTTGCTTCTCCCTTGCAAATTCCTTCTTTTTTCACTTCTGTTTGTCTCTGTAAATAGACAGAAGAGTAGCAAAACCTGGATTTGTGACATGGAGGCAATTTCACCTTATCTTCTACTGGCAAACTTGCATGAGCTGTGCATAAGGAGTTAACTGATATATGACTGTGACAGTAATGTGAATCAATGAGAGAGAAGAGAATACTTTTTTTGAGAGAGAGAGAAAAGGAGGATTCTTACCTTCTAAGGCTGACGTGCCAGAATTTTTGTTCTCTTCAGCCAGCATCACTTCCTCTATAGAAAGATTTATAATTGGTTTAGTTATACAGTTGTCTAGGTTTTCTTGAACTTCAGTGAAGCAAACGGTTCTCACATCCATGGAAATAGGGGAAAGAGGATTAATAAAAAGGAGGAGGTAAGAAAATGAAGCAGCACTAAATAAGCCTGGAAATTCAGTAAAATGAAATTACTCCAATGGAACAGAGTAAGTCTGTGAATTCTAGTTTCACTTCTCAATTCTAGTCACTCTCTCTCAGCCAGCAATGTGAGGCTTGGGTGACAAGCCAAGTTGGTCAGTTCCTGTTGCAACCAATGGATCAATACTCAATTGATAAAAACAGTAAACTTAGCACTTGGAAGAAGAAGGAGAGAAAAAAATGAACAATCTATCTTTTTCAAGGCGCAGAAAGAGGAATGGGATACGATAACAAACCCTTAACCTTTTCTCTTTCACTATCTGCTTAAAATTATCTTGTGCCAGCTCTTTTTTCCCTTGCTGAACAAAACATAAGGATACCATTCATTGGAAGGGATTGCTCTGCTCACTTTTGTTTGTTTGTTTGTTTGGTCAGTTTTGGAATAAATAAAGCCCTCCATCCCTGAACAATAGTATGATTTATAACTATGAAATGAAGTTATGTGGAAGTAAATCAATGAGCCAGTGGATACAAAGATGATATGTCAAATACCTTTGCTCCCTTTATATATATATATATATATATATATATTTATATATATATATATATATATATATATATATATATATATATAGATTATATATATAATATATATATATATATATAACATAGAACCAGGGGATGTGACTTCAGGTCAACAGAAATTTTCTTTTTCTTGAAAAGTACTTTTCCAACTTTTTTAAAAAATGGGAAATTCAGATTGGCTGCCACAATTAGAAATGTCTGTCATTTTTCCAATTATCTGGAGAAAACAGTTGAATTATTACAGAAAGAAACCAAATACATTTGCAGAGAAGATGAATTATTTCATCATTAATTTTTATTCATGTTATTATTGTAGACATGTAGTATCAAGCAATAACCCTGAAAAAAGGGGAATAATTGAAATACACTTCTTTAAAAGGTGAAGTTAGTATGTTTCTATGCAACATTCTTTGGGATCTGTATAGAAAAAATATTTGATTTTCTCCCCTCTTTGTTTATAATAATGTATAAATAAGCAAACAAACAAAAATCACAAATAAAAGTTGTAAAAGGCATGTGACATTGCTGTTTGGTATTTATGTATGAGTAATTACAATCAAAAATAATTCAGAAAAATCACAATGATTTGAATACATCCTAGTTGCTCTTTTAAGTAAAAAGATCTCTCCTTGAACTACAGTGTCAATTTCACTTATTTTTCATGAAACAACTTTCTCCCCAGCTCTCTTATAACATCACAACATTATATGAAATTTTTAATTTATATTGTGTAGGAACAAGGAATACATTTTACTGGGATTTATAAGAGCACTATGATGGTTCTACATAGATTCCTAACATGTTTAAGCTTAAAATAAATGTGTTTTTAAAAATGGCATGGCATATTTTTGCAAAAACTTTTTTTTAAAACTTACCAGATGCTCACACCTACACAAGAGGTGTGCAGCAGAATACGTCATTTACAAATAAGATAACAATCCAGAACAATAAATCTTTATGAAAAGGAACTTTAAAAAAAGAAAGCAAATGGAACAAAACTGAACATAGGGAAAAGTGTAATTTCATTGTCTCGTGTTCATGGTGGCTCTCTGAGGGAGCAGCTCCACTGATCTAATTGGCCCTAGAAATGCCTCAGCACAGCTTGTTACCTGCTTTGTCTATCCAGGCCCGGTAACCATTCAGCTCTCTCTCAATCTGCTGCTGTCTCCTCAGTTTCATGAAAGCCCGGCGATTTTCCACTCGCTCTCTCTCTTTGGCAAATTCTCTGTAAAAAGGGAAGGCCAAGAACCAGTCAGTTTGGACTGTATTCTGACAGGTTAGGAAGGAAAAGGGCTGTTTTAAGTGCCTAACAGAATGCAAGATTTTCATTAGCTAGTTTTTTCATCTTTAAAATAAGTTTGATTTGAGATGTATTAGAAATTTGCAGAGCTATTCAGAACTGAAGGGATTAGAATCTTGTATATAAGTTTCACACTTCACAAAGAATTAGCAGCCAATCCATGTCAACCCTTCCAGCCAAGTATATAGAGAGAAAAATGGCAGATAGACAATTACTATCATTTCAAGCTGGCCAATAGTTGTATGCCTTTTCTTCTCTGATTTTATTGGGTCCTTGCAAGAAAGAAAGAAAGAGAGAGAGAGAGAGAGAGAGAGAGAGAGAGAGAGAGAGAGAGAGAGAGAGAGAGAATGCATCATCTCCCATGTTCTATATATTTATTTGCATTCATCTGTGCATATTTGTCTATTATTCTAAATTCCAGAGGTAATTTGAGGGAGAAACTGCTAATGGGTGTCACTTGTTAAAAAATACCAGATATGTATGTTGAAAACCCTCACAGGCTTCCTGTGACACCAAATCTAGAACAAGTAACCCAGGAAAGATGAGCATCCTCTCCAATGGGAGGATAGACTATTCTTGGGTACAAGCCAATTTACTGCATACTTTGTTTTTTAAAACAGTATCTGCTGTCCTAAAACAGCATTTTCTTGTCCACAGTTACCCACTAAGCACCACAGCTAAAAAGAAATATCCCTAATCCAGTAGTCCAAATTAATGGATCATGTTCAAAGGGAGAAAGTACCTTCTCCTTCTTCTCTAAGCAATTGTGAGTGACCATTTGAATAAACTAGACCCATCAGACTGTTGGTTTTCTCTATGAACTAATCAATATGCCGTGCTAACATACTGCTTGCTGCATGCTGGTCTAAACTACTTCTCACTCTCAAGCCAATAAAGAGTGACTTATGTACTTAATATATTTCCTCTAATTTTAGAATCTGAGTTACAAAAATAGAGGAAGTAGTTTGGGACAGGTCATTCCAGAAAAGCCCTGTCTATGTAGTCATTAAAAATCAACACTAATTTTTTAGCCCATAATTATAGATTTTGAACTTACTTGACATCCTGTAACTTCTGCTCAGTATATCATGAGCTACCTGCAGGCTGAACTTAGTTTCTAAAACTGCTCCGAAGTTATTAAAAGCCTCCTTTTAAATCATCCTCAGTCTGTTGACTGTAGTGTTTCTAATACAACTTTATGGATTATGTAATTGGGAGAATGGTAGCTTTCTTTCCTCTTCGTAAGAGAAAAATAGAGGATTTTGTATGGCATGCTTGAAAGTGGAAAAACATGGTTTATGATCCAGGAGATTTGGCAGACTGTAGACCCTGTACATAAGAAGGCTATTGCTTCTCCATTGCTCAAACCAGTGTCTCTCCAATGGACACTTATGATTCTACACATTCATGCTTTAGCTTTCATAAGCAAATCATTTTCTGTCTCTCCTACAGCTGAAATGTTGTTGATAGGCTGGGGGTGTGGATGCATTATTCAAAAGAAATATACATTACCAAAGCTTTGCTACATAGCCTCAGGATCTGCTGAAGGTGTGAAACAGGGGTGGAGAAAAGATTGAAGAAAGAGCAGGAACACTAGCAAGGTCCCTCTAGTAATACTCTAATCTCCTTGGCAAACACAATCTTTGCATGAATTAAGCTCTGTGGAGTTCACTCAACGCTCTGGAATTTTTCCTCATTACATCTCCTACAGCTAACATTACAACATAGAAATGATCAGCAGTACAAAATAAAACATAGTTGACACAAATACAAATATAATATTGTGTAACTTAATTTCTTCTTGTACAACTCTAGTACTGAGATAGATTCCAATAAACAGAGGGACAGAATCAAGATCACGTGAGTATTAATACCAGTTTACAATGCCTTGGTAAGGCCACACTTGGAATACTGCATCCAGTTTTGGTCACCACGCTGTAAAAAAGATGTCGAGATTCTAGAAAGAGTCCAGAGAAGAGCAACAAAGATGATTAGGGGACTGGAGGCTAAAGCATATAAGGAAAGGCTGCTGGAATTTGGTATGTCTAGTTTAATGAAGAGAAGGACGAGGGGGGAAATGATAGCAGTGTTCCAATATCTCAGGGGCTGCCACAAAGAAGAGGGAGTCAAGCTATTCTCCAAGGCGCCTGAAGGCAGGACGAGAAGTGACGGATGAAAACTGATCAAGGAGAGAAGCAACCTAGAACTAAGGAGAAACTTCCTGACAGTTAGAACAATTAACAACCTGCCTCCAGACGTGGTGAATGCTCCAACACTGGAAGTTTTTAAGAAGAGGACTGGACAGCCATTTGTCTGAAATGGTATAGGTTTACCTGCCTGAGCAGGGGGTTGGACTTGATGACCTCCAAGTCCCTTCCAACTTTATTATATTATTATCGGATCATCACACAGTCAGCCAGATGTTCAGACTGGATTTGGCATTTTGTCTACCTATCGAGTCCTTACCCAGGACCTGGGATAGGCAGATGTGGATGTTTGATGGTATTACAGATATCGTCGCAGGCAGGGAAGCAGTTCCTAGTAAGGCCGCCTTTTGCAATTGACTAATAGCGAATTTGTCAATGCCAATGGGTTCAAGTGGTGTTCCAGTTGTTTTGGGATTGCACCCAAGGAGCCTATTACAAATGGTACCATTGTTATCTTCTCCAGGCACTGCCACGTCCACTATCCAGACTTTTTTGTCTTTCTTATTGACAATTGTTAAGTCTGGGGTGTTATGTTGCAGGTGCTTGTCTGTTTGAATTCTGAAGTCCCAGAGCAGTTTAATTTTATCATTTTCTATGACTTTCTCTATTTTATGATCCCACCAGTTTTTGCTTACAGGCAAATGATATTTTTTGCAGATCTTCCAATGCACCATTGTTGCTACTTTGTCATGCCGCTGCTTGTAGTCAGTCTGTGCAATCTTCTTGCAACAGCTTACCAGTGGTCCACTGTTTCTTCAGCTTCTTTGCATAGGCGGCACTTACTGTCTGTGCTGTCTTCTCAATTTTGACTTTGTATGCATTTGTCCTTAAGGCTTGGTCTTGTGCAGCCAGAATTAGTCCCTCGGTCTCTTTCTTCAATTTTCCTGCTCTTAGCCATTGCCAGGTCTTATTATTATCTGCTTTCCCAGCTATTTTTTTTCATGTATTGGCCATGTAGTGCTTTGTCTTCTCATGCCTCTATTCTGTTCTTCATTTGGTCTTTCTTGTAGGCCAGTTTGGTCTCTCCAGTAGTCAGTAAGCCTTTCTGATATACTAATTTCAGTGCATCTTCATATTGTTCTTCAGATATTCTTCCAAAGCCATTTTTTCTTCTTCAACCATCTGATGTACTTGTAGCATTCCACGTCCACCTACTTGCCTTGGTAGATAAAGTCTGTCAATGTCACTGCGTGGATGAAGGGCATGATTCATTTATTTTTCTGGTCTGCCTATCCATTCTTGAGTCCAGTCCACTATTCCAGCTGTGTACCTAATGACTGGAATTGCCCAGGTGTTGATTGCCTTTATGGTATTTCCTCCATTGAGTTTGGACTTTAAGATCTTCACTCTCTTGATGTATTCACCGCTAATATTTTTCTTGACTTCAGTGTGCTTGATGTTGTCAGCTTGAAGGATACCCAAGTATTTGTAGTAATCTTCCTCATCCAGACTCTTAATGTTATTTTCGTGGGGCATCTTGATTCCTTCAGTTTTCATTATTTTTCCTTGTTTGATAGTAAGTGTGGCACATTTGTCCAAGCCAAACTCCATTACAATATCTTGGCTATATATACGGACAGTGTTGAGCAGCGATTCTATTTCAGATGATGTTTTTCCATACAGTTTCAGATCATCCATGTAAAGGAGATGGGATAGTCTGGCAGATGTTTTTGATGTTTGATAGCCATGTCCTGAGTTATTCAGTATTGTTGACAGAGGAAACCGTGCAATGACAAATAGTAATGGTGATAATGAATCTCCTTGAAATATTCCTCTCTTGATATTAACCTCTCCCAGTCTCTCACCCTTGATCTGGAACTGTGTCTTCCATTGTGCCATCGATCTTTGCACAAATTTCCGATGTTTCTACTGACTCCTGTTATTTCTAGGCACTTGATTATCCAGTCATGTGGCAGAGAGTCAGATGCCTTTTTGTAGTCAATCCATGCCACATTCAGGTTGGTCTTCCTTTTCTTGCAGTTTTCCAAGATCATTTTGTCTATTAGGAGTTGATCTTTTGTTCCTCTGCTATTGGGGCGGTTTCCTTTCTGCTCAGGTGGAAAGAGATTGTTTTCAACTAGATGCTGTTGTACTGCGTCAGCTACCACACCAGTTAGTTTATTTGAAACTTGTTGGTAAGCAGGTAATTGGCCTGTAGTTGCCTAGTGTTTCCCCTTTTGCTGGATTTTTCATTACTAAGTAGGTTTTCCCAGTTGTTAGCCACTTTTCAATTTCTCCTCCTTGTAGTATATTGTTGAACTGTTTGGCAATGAGTGAGTGTATAACAGTTAGATGTTTCAACCAAAACCCATGCAGTTCATCTTCACCTCGTACTGACCAATTTTTGATTTTCCTTGCTCTTTTTTCTACCATTTTTACTGTGATTACTAGTTCTTTCATTTCAACTTCTGTTTTATTTGTATCCACCTCTTTTAACCAACCAACCATACCTTGTTGTATTTCTTTGGGTTATCCCATATCTGCTTCCAGAACTGCACTGTTTCTTCCTTGTCAGGTACTGACTGATTCCTTGCAGTTTCTCCATCGATGATGATAATGATGATGATGATGATTACTTCAAGATTTGTGGGCTTCAACTCCCAGAATTCCTCAGCCAGCAAAGCTTTGCTGGCTGAGGAATTCTGGGAATTGTAGTCCACAAGTCTTAAAGTTGCCAAGGTTGAGGACCCCTGCCCTAAGAGATAGAGGCAGATAGAA